TAATCGAGAATTTTCAACATGTAACTACATGAACATAACTAAGAGATAATCAGTTTAAGAAAGAGCTAACAATACGATGAAATATGATGAAATATGATCAAAATGCAACGATTTTTGTCATCGTTAACTCTACTGTAGTATGGAAAAACAATGGAAAATAGCCCACAACTGCATGAAAATACCTAAAATTGTTGGAATCGTAGTTCAGAACAACAAACTGGTTAAATAATCTTAGTTACGATCATAAACTGATTAATTCTTTAAAATTACAGGCGTTTTTTACGAGTGATTCGTAGTGAAACTTGTATGCGTTTTGTTTTATACGGCCGATTATTCTTTCTGACTCGCTTTACTATGGCCACAAAGCTTGTTTTTCATCTTCTGCGTTATCTTAAAGTATAATTCGGCCATATTTTGCTATGTTTTCCATAGTTTTGTTGAAAAATATTTCGATGAGTTCGTCCCTTACTAACGGCGGCGGCGGCTTCAAAATTTGTTTACTATAAATACAGAGTTGCTTAACTCAGTCTTTTTTCGAGATCAGTGATTCTGACATTGTTCCATCATCAATCTGAGTACGACATTTTGTAAAAAATTCGTAGTCGCAACTACGATGTCTTTTTAAGGAAGGAAAGTAGGTATATTTTTTCATTTTTTAAGAAATTAGTTTGCAGTACTATTTTCGAGCATCCAGGCTTTACTTTAGAACCTTTTTTGAGCGCAAATGTACATTTAAAAGGAATTTCGAGATCGGAATTGAGCTCAGATTAGTGCACCGGATAAAGTCAGAAGTGTAATTTGATATGCATTTTTTCCAATTCTTTTTCTCAGCGTTAAAAAGAATTCTTCATTGAACAAACAACATCTTTTTTGCGTTGCTTCCGTCGAGCAATTCACTCCTCTTTTGGTTCACAGGTCTTCAACTCTTTTTATGTTAACTTTTCATTTATTTTAAAACTTAGAAATGCGAAAGCAGCACTGTATAGTCTGTAGTATTCTGGCAGTCTTGGAATTGATTATTCACATCTTAACTAACGCTAAGTAATTACTGCAAAATAATATCAGTCGATCTTTCCTTTTACCTCATTAGCAGCAATCACTCTTTCATTGCGTTTCAAGTTCTTACTCGTTACAAGATATTTTTATTGCTATGACTAAAAAATGCACCATCCTAAAAACAATTTCATTCCTCATTATGCATGCATGATACGTCATATATTACATTTTGTTTCAAATAAGCGGTCATGAATTACACATCTAGCACATAGCTTCTATGAGTTATATCTTGTACCTTTTTACGTTTACTATTCAATTGCTTTCATGGGCGTACGGGCCAACATTTTTAGGGCGGTGGGAACATTTTCAATTGGATACTGAGTTCATTTACGATTTAAAGTCCGAAATCGATTCCAAGCTTGAATCTGAGCTCGAATCTTTGGCTCGGTAAATAGTGTATCTCTTTTTGCAAGAGTTTTATCAGCAAATATTTTTTTGCATTTCGATCAAGGAACCTACGTAAAACCTTTTACGAGACAATGACTACATGATTTTTTCGGTGTGAACTTCACAGATTTGAATTTATAAAACAGTTTTTGAACAAATAGGTACAAAAAATTAAGTTGCAAAAATAAGAAACATAGACAAGTTAAATTCATTAAAACAAAAGATTATGATCAAAGACGGAAAAGGCACAGAATTCGTTTAGCCACAAAATCCGTTTAGCCGTAAATGAAAACTATAACTGACTTTAATTCTGTAAATCCTGGAGTTTTCCTTTTTTTTGTTAACAAGCACGTTTTTCTACTTTTTTGTTGATTAGCGCATGAAACCCTTGCTTTACTAATGTATTTGCCAAGTAGTTTCCCTGACGAAATGGAAAAGAATGTATTTTTTCTCTGTGGGTTGAAAATTTAAAAATATGGTAACCCTTCATAGAGCTCACAGAGTCTACAAAGTGGAGCAGAGTTTACTTTGATTATTTTGAGGAAGGTGTGATTAGAAAACGTCGCAGCCATATGTATCTGCTGGTAAACAGAGGCTGTTTATTTTATTAACCAATCAAATGTCATTTGTTATTTGCACCTCCCCCCCCCCCGCCTTTTTTATATCTAAGTTTTTCTTAGGTTTTTTCTTTCAAAACTATTTTTGTGCTACATGGATTAAAAATAGGTTAATACAATTAACTAACTTATTAATTTCTGAAATGCTTTTAATGAGATTCGTAGCGAGGTAGTAAACAAAAATACTTACTTACCTGGTTTAAATTAATTAAATGCCTTACTGCAGCATATCTTCTTAAACTTTATCTTTTTTGCGTAAAAAAACACAAGATGGCAGCTGGATTGTTCAGAAGAAGAAATTGACATGGAAATTGGTATCAAATATGAAAAATGCGTAAATAATTCAAATTGTTCACTTGTATCCAGAACAGGTCAGTAGTACTGACACAAGGTTTGAATTGCATAACAATGGTTAAAGAAGTGTTTTACGGATTATTTTTGAAATATTGCATATTATATTCACAAATTAAAATGTATTAATATTTAACTACTATTTGAAATAATATATACTCATTAGCTTTGTCATTAAACAGCAACATACCAACTATTTTTTATTTACAGAAAGTAACGAATCAAAGGATGTGTAGCTTCAAAGGTGCGCCATACTTGTACAAATTGCGTTTGGTAACAGGTTCTTTATAACCATTGTTTCTTTTGAATGTAGGATGATGCCATAATTATGGAAAACTAGGCCACAGGAGCACAAAATGCATAGAAAGAAATGAGAATGAAGGATATAACATTTCTTTCATGAACATAGAAAGAAGCTATGCTGAACTTTTTCATTCTATAAAGAGTTTAATCCAGCAAAAGAGTATGTTTGAATGATACTATTTTGTATAAAGCATGCACTTTCCTGTTTCAAAATATGCAACGGACCTGCAAATATAAAATTGTTATAGAAATAGATTCTTTTGTGTAATTTTGACCGGAAGACGTTGCTACATCTGTAAAAAAACATGGCCATGTTGCTTAACCCTTTCGGGACGGATCGTGCTTTTCCAACACGAATCACCAAACAAATTGTATACAACTTTTTTAAAAAGTCCGTCTGGAAAGGGTTAATATTGTATTTGGCTAGAAAAGCTGTCCCATATATAGATGTTTTTAATCAGTGCCAAAACTGCACAGTAAATTTTTAGGTAATTAATTTTTTAATATATTTGACTTTTTTCTTTATCGATGCAATAAATGGTTTTAAATTTGACTCATTGAGACATTGTAAGAGCAACTCTAGACATCGCAGCATAGAAAGAGAAGAAAAAATTGAAGAGAGCAAAAAGTTCATCAAACTCTGACTTTGTTCACAAACTTCTGGCAACACTGTTGAATCTATATTTTTTTAAATTTTGATTTTTGATATCTGGCTCTATTAAACCAGGCACCTAACTACGGGAGGAAGTGTCCAGGTGGGAGTATCATCGTGAAATAGAGGGATTTTGTTCTTTTATGGCCAAACCAAACACAATGCCTAAATAAAAGTTCAAAACACTGATTGATTTTTGCATATCATACACATATATTCCCTTTTGTTTAAATCACGAGTCACTATTTTTCAAGTTGCAAATTTGAACGGATGTTCTCTGTGAAAAGAATCAAAACGCTTAAACGTCGCCGGTAATCAGCGTGCAAGATTTGCAAAAACGTGTGGGGAATAGGTATTAGCTAGTATAATGTACGTATAGTTAATGAAATTTTAAAATAATTGGCATTTAAAAACCAAAAATTCAAAAAAACTACGATTTGAAGTGCTAAGCCTTCACGTACGCACTACAATGAATTCTTATAACTTTGCTAGCTTCAACAACATATGTGCCATATTTATACCCAACGTGTTGCAATTGCCTTTTAGCTGTATGTTTTACGTGTGCAAACTACTTAAAATGTTTATTATTTGGCAATTTTACTGTCAGATAATCCGTTGCAAGTCTATTTCAGCTTAAATTTGTTTCACTAATTTCAGCAAATTTTCTGCTCTGATGACTTTGGTGATCTTTTCCTAGCTGTTCATTTTTTCTACTGGGTGAATAAAAAAACTGAACAGATAGAAAAACGTCTTAGCTTGAAATAGCTTGCAAACGAAAATAACAAAGCTAAAAACCAATTGGGTTTACATACGGTTAAAATATGGCCACTGTTCTTCAAGCTTAAAAACTTCCGGGAAATTTGGCCAAGCCGTGCACGAATGTTAGGCATCCAAATTGCGGACTACTTTGCATTTTTTTCTTAAAACAGACATCAATTATTCATATCCAATCAGCTCAAATTTATGCATAATTGACGAGGATTATAACAAGATGCCATGTAAACACAAAAAGGTAAGCGTTCGCGTAGGCATCAGCCAAATTTTCTAAAACTTTTTTAGCTTGAGCAACATGTGCCATATTTTAACCCTATCTTCTAATTGCTGTTTAGTGTTTAGCTGCATTATTTTAGAGCGCAAGCTATTTCAAAAGTGCTAGTTATTAACACATTTTTACTCTATGTCATTTTTACTTAATGTCAGATGAGCTAATGGAAGTCTAAATACATATTTCCTCATAAGGTTTTCGCAGATCGTGCGCATTGACGACTTTAGCGGCGACTTCCTAGTAGTTCAGTTTTTTATGCACCCTGTATAGCGGTATATAGCACAAAATATAGTTATTCTACTTGAAATTTTGTTACGCTTGACTCTTGAAAAACTGAATGAGTGATAAATTGCTACCGTTTTCAGCTTAGTGTTCACACCTACCGAAATAATGTTGCTGCTCACCTTTACATCCTAGAAACGTGCCAGTACGAAATGACTAAATTAGCAACATACATTAAAATCAACATACATTAACATCAACATACATTAACATCAACATACATTAACATCAACATACATTAAACATCAACATACCTTAACATCAACATACATTAACATCAACATACATTAACATCAACATACATTAACATCAACATACATTACTTTATAGCTGGAATATATCCGACCGGTTGAAATATGGTTGAAATTTGAAAGTGTTTTCATTGTCATTCATTAGGGTTCATCATAATGACACGACGTAACTGCACTGTATTTCCAAATGATCCAGATTTGTGCGTGAGTATTTTGTATTTTTGTTGTTTTTAATGTAGCAATGATCTAATATTGATGACGTTTTAAATTGAGACTGTATAGCTATAGGCTATAGCAAGTCTAAATTTAGATACGCTCCTTTGATACCATCTTTTTTAATTTTCTTATATCATGAAACATTGTTGTTTAAGATCAGTAATGTTTTGTTAAATTTGATCACCAATAAACCTGAATCATAACGATGTTTTATTCTTTGGTCTAAGACTATTAGACTTATTACTTGCTTACTTGCTTAGTTGAGACTTCCGTCATGTGTATTATAGAATTTCCCAAACTATTCCAATACATCAGAAGAATATAAAATTCAAAATGTTACTGATCAATTTTAATTGTTTGTTTGTTATCATTGTAAAAAAGCATAAGGAAAAAAGTACTTGTAATTTTATTCCCCTCGACCTCATTTTGTCTTGGATTTTATATGACGTTATCATGGATTGGGTATTTTTACAGACTTGGTAAAGCAGACTTTCTGTTTTTTAAAAACTTTGTTGCATCAATCTTTGCCCGTTTGTGGTGGCAAGAAAGAGGCAGCTAAATTTATTGTGTTTTTGGCATTGATTGTCCACCTAGAATATTTGTGAATTTATGAAATCTAAGTAATGTGAAAATGAAATAGAAAATGTACATTAATTAGTGCTTGTATACACTTTCTGGCATTTGTGATGCACATTTCTTTTATGGTAACCAGCTTTATATGGAGCAAAATAATCATGCCTTACCTATGTCAGTTAATGAAATAGGTTGCTTGGGTATTTAACTTTCACCTTGTGTTTTTAAATTGTTTTCCTAATATTCACATGCAAGGAAGCGAGCTCATCATTCAGTAGTCACGGTGTCTACAGGCAATATATGATTTTGAGAACTTTGACATAATTTAGATAGCAAATATAAGAATTTCTAAGCAATGTTCATGCTAAATTTCTGGTGAAGCTACACTTTTTGTACAGCTTTTGCTCAAAACCATATAGTTTCATTAGAAAAATATGACATGAAAGCATGTCACTTAGCTTAATGAAAGTATAATTTTGCGAAATTGTTATTATGCAGGACCATAAACGAAGAGAAATTGTTAGACTGGGGCAAAATTTTTTCCAGATACCGTTAATGTATTTGTAATTGCATTTAGGCCAAACTGTATAAGGTGTTGCTACCTATTCCAAAATGCTCTCAATTGCAAAAGACTTTCAATGACTTTAATATTTTTGAAGGAGCATTGCCAAAAATTTTGGGTGCTGGCAAATTTAGGGTCCTTTTGGGTGGAGATGAGCAGTGAGGAAAGATGCACATTTGACTCCTCTTTGTGGCCATGCTCATATTAAAAAATTTTCCGAAGCATAAAAAGCACATGATAAATGAAAACACAAAATTTATGTGTCTGAGAAAACTTAAGTCATTACTTGAAAGAAATTTTAAAGTTTTAATTATTATTATCTTCTTAAGCGTTCTAATGTTTGTGTTTATATGTTTATGTTTATCCTGTTTATGTTTCAATTCATAGAATATTATTGTTGCAGTCAGGACTTCAGTTGGCATTGTGTCGCTTATAGGCTGGTTAGTGTCAATATTTTATGTTATATTTATTTTAGCAATGAAAGTCCAGGAAAATGCATTGTACACTATACGGTACATATTGATAGAAATTACTACATTTTGCCATGCACTGTGAATTTAGAATCAATTTAGTGTTATTTATACATTTTTTGGCTTGTGATGTTGCAAAACACCCAGATGCATAATGTGAAGTATGCAGGGAATGCTTTCACCAGTCTTTCAAGCAAGTATCCATTTGCCTGTGCTTGCACTTGTACTGCAGTCTACACATGCTCAGGAAAAACATAGAATTGAGTAGACTTTCAATTAATTTCTAAACCAGATTAAGTTTCAGTTTCATGTTCATGTGCCCTGTAAATGGTTTCATGTATTTGCTTACTGTTTTTAAGACAACAAAAATTTATTTTATTTCAGTTTTTTCATCATCGTTGTCATTTGGTTATTCAAAAAGTATCAAATATTCACACAGGTATATCACTTTCCATGAAAAAATATTTCTGAAAAATTGAAGTTTGCCCTCTGTAGTTGTGACATAGAATGTTAATGTTATGTAACTGTAATTGTGTACACTTTTTTAATTCAATTTAAAAGTGGGCATGTTTTTTTCTTTTCAGCGTCTGATTTTGTATCTCAGCATTGCAGCATTCTTAAACAGCATTGCTTATTTAATGGTACGTAAGTGCTCAACCAAATGACTAGCTGTGTAGCCAGCTTGCAAGCTTGAATGGTCATATGATGTAAATATTATGCTAAAACAATAGATTTCTAAGGGAGTAGATAATTCTATTGAATGTACGACGAATCTTGAAGGCTGGCTTTTCCACTTATGTGATTATTTCTTTTTAAATGACTTCATTTGTTTTATTTTAGCCTGGTTTCGTACCTGAAGGACCATTGTGTAATTTTCAAGCCTGGTGGACATCTTTCTTTGGTAATTACTCATTATGCATAAATGAAGATACCTGGAATCGACATTTCAAAAAATAGTCTTGCCAAAATCACTGCGCAAAGATTTCACCCAAAGCTAGCTGTGTTAATTAATTCCAGACGGTTTACCAGCCGATCCCTGGATGCGCATTAAAACGAGAATTTGCTATCATATATTTATGTCAAATTATTACTGCTCATGTTGCAACATGCGTTTATATGTATTGTACCAACGAACAAAAGACTTCATACTTCGAATACATACGTAACAACATGTCCTGTCCTTTGCTTGACGTGTTTGTGATGTTAATGAATTTAACGCTGGTTTTGATGTCATACATTTTACATTGCCTTTTATCAGAACATCATGTGCCCTAAAACAATTGAACGGGTTCTGCCCAAATTAAAGAGATACGTATTTTTAATGTTGTCAATCTTCCCTCAAATTAAGCGTCATGCTAATTATAATTTATAAATAACCTGCTCTTAATTACAAAAATAATCTGAACTTTTTATGTTTAAGTACACATCATGCATGTTATTTCCTTTGTAGCTTGGTCGGTGGTGCTTTGGGCTTGTTGCATTACCTTTAATCTCTATCAAAATGCCATACGGACCATGAGAACAGAAAAATATGAAATGTACGTATGTTTGAAACTATAAAGACAATTTTTGCTCGTTTGAAACTACGTAATTGTCTCTTAAAGTTCAAAAAATTTTGTATCAATCATTAATATCACTTGAAATGTGTTTTCGCGGCCGACCTTTTGTTAAAAAATATTGAAAATACGTCGCTTTATTTGTTTTGAACATTTTTTAAACATTATTTGCAACAACGTGGAACATTTTTTAAACAGAAGATTATTACTTTTTTTCTATCCGAATCGTTTGTTATAACCCTTTATTGCACCTATTTTTTGTGAATTTAGTTTCATTTTTGTTTTGTGAATGTTTTTGCGTCTCCACTACAGCGTGTAGTATGTTAATATTTCATAAATATAAGATTATAACAAGCATGTTACAAGGGGTCTACTTAACAATTAGATAACATATAACCGTTGTCTAAACAGTTATATATTATCTAATTGTTATGTTGAACACGTCTAAAAACTAAAAAAAAGTGGCCACGAGCCGTCGCTTCATCCTGTTATCGAAGGCGAAGTAGCTACAAATCGATGTTTGAAAATCGGGTTTTTTCTTTTGTTTTTGCTCAAATACGTCCACTGCTTTAACTGCTTCAAAACACAATTTTCTGTGACGTCAATTCCGTACGTCTGTCCTCTTATAGATCATAGCTCTCAACCAATGAAATTGCACAAGTTCTTCTGGTTATTATATAAAAATTAATGACATACGTATATGACATCTTATGAAAAACACAGCTATTTTAGAAATATCTTTACTTCAATGCGTATATTACACCATACTCTTGCAAATGTGAACATCGTGTTCGTACTTGTTTGTGGATGTTTGTTATATACATTAACACTAACCACGATTTTTTTTATTTAAAAACGTTTCTCGAATTTTTTTCCTTTATCACTTTGTCATCATTTGTTTTACTCGATCTCAGGAAGTTTTTATTTTATTTAGTATCTACCACGTTATATCTTGGGGAGTGGCACTAGTCGTTGCTTGTATTCCGTTTATTGGAAATCATTATGGACCTGCGGGAGTTTGGTGGTATGTATGAACAATGTGGATATATATTATTTTGCTAGAGAATTTCAAATTAAAAAGAACTGATGACCGAAACTGAATACCAAGAAGCAGTTTTCGAAACTCAATGTGACGCCTCGAAACCCCATGTTTCAATGTATGTTTGTTCGAGTCAGGCGAGTCAATATTTTTATCAGCTAGTGCAACTGATCTTAAAAAATATAAGGCAACTAAATGTGATGATTATCTTTTTTCATCAATAAGTTAGTTTTCACACAATAACACAATAAAACGCGTGTGCTGATTGGTCTATTGCTGTGTTTGCATTAGCCTGTGCTAAACGGATCTGAGCTCAACCATTTAAATTAATCAATCAATGAAAGAGAATTTGCTAATCAATCATGAAAAAATTTGTTTTAAATTTTTTTTTCGCGTTATTGTTATTTTACAAAAGAAATAAAAGATGTTTTCTAATGATCTGCTCTCGAATTCTCCCAAAGGTCTCCTCGGCTTGCATAGGCCTGTGAAACACAGTAACTTAAACATCTTTTATTTCTTGTATAAATTTACTGTTACCAATTCCATTACGTGTGTTTTGTCTCTTGATGAAAAAAGTTGGAATAAAAAATATTTGATTTTTTTTAGTTGGATCGATAAGGAAAGCTCTAACAGTCAAGTTTGGCGGTTCGCAACGTACGTCATGCGATATTACATTCTAACTACATATTTCCCATCATTTTCAACCCAATTTAATGTGCTAGGTGGCACTTTTTTCTTGCAAGATATGATACTTAGGTGAAAACTGCTTGCGTTAACTATTCGCAGTTGTGTTTGAGATTACATTTTTTGTTGTGTTGTTTTAAATGAAGACCAACGTGAAACTCATCCATAAAATTTCATGACAATCTTTAACTATTTTATTTCCGTTGCAGGTGGTTCATACCTTTGTGGTGTATGATAACCTATATGTTTTTAATCTACGTTGTTATCGTGTGGAAACTTCGACGAGTGGTCAGTATAAATACCCAGTTCCAGGAGCTGTTAACTAATATGTGCTTCTGAAGAGCAATTTGCTCTCTTCTTTTTCTCTCCTTTTGATCATGATTCCATCAACTTACTTGCTGCCATTATGATAATTACATACGTAGTAAGATATGCGTCTCATAAAAAAATGGAATACCTCTACTGTTCCTCAGTTCCCCATATTATGATTTTTCACGTTACATTTGTTTTAGGCCGATCGGTATGAAGGAACATATCGTGCAGACCACGAAAGACAAAGAGTAAGTTTTGAGGTTGCTATTCGAGGTTTATAAAAAAGAAGACCTTTAGAAATTAATCTTTTGTGAAATTTCATCACCTAAGCACTATGCTACGCCCACTGGTGCATTTTTGTGCATGTTTTGCTTTTAGAAGCAACAGAAATTATGTCATATCCCAAGAGTAAGAAAGCTTTAGGGCTTGTGGCAAATAACAATAATTTGTGGACGTAACTGACAATAAATACTTTTTGCAACCGTGGGATTGAGCGTAGCGATCGTCATTGAAATCATCACAACACGTCAATTGCTAAAGGTCGTCTTTTACCGATAGACCATGTATACGTCATTATACCACTTTTATGACACACGAGGGTTGCATGTTACGTCACGGCCGCCATGTTGGTGGTCAAATACAAAAGAATATTTTATTTTATGCTATCGTGGGCACCAGCAGTCGTGGGCGAGTCAGAATTTTTATGGATTACACTTGCAGGCTGTTTGCAATCCATGAGTAATATTATATACACTCAGTGTTGTATCAAAACAACAAGTATTATTTTCTGCTTAAAGTGCCTACATCACCCTCAGAGAAATACATTAATCTATAAAGATAGAGTTAACTATTTTAAGAACATTAGCAATATATTTTGTAACACGAAAATTTGATCTTCCTTCAATTTTTGGGCCTTAATATTAGATTTTTTATGTTTGATTGTGAGGTGCTGAGAATTTATCCCTGTATGGGAAAATAAAGAAACGCATTTGAGCAAAAAGAAAAAAACCCGGTTTTCAATCATTGATTTGTACTTCGTCTTCGATAAGAAAATTTCAAAGAAATTGATCAGCCATTCCTTGTTTATTTTGATAGCCAATCACATTTTATCACGTGATTAAGCTAGCCAATAGCATTTCTTCAATCTTATAGATCACGAAAGCATGATAATTGCAAAATCAAGACTTTTCAATGTTCCAAGTGTTGGGGGCCAAAGAAAACAAACTGTTTGACCGTTTAATTTGGGAGTTTTTTTGATTTTTTTATATAAAACAAAGAGATACGGCGGCTTGTAGTCACTTTTTAATTTTTATCACAAATGACGTAATTCCCGTGTACTTATAACTGTATAGACAACGGTTGAGTGTAATCTGTTTGGTAAAGTAACTACAGCAGCGTGTTCTCCAATGTACATTATGTCCGGTGAACTATACCCAGTCACAGCACCTCACAGGAAATCACGAAAAAAGCCAACTTTGAGCACAAAAAGTCAAAGAAGATCTAATTTTCATATTATAAAATATATTGCAAATGTTCTTAAAGTCGTCAACTCTATCTAAATACATTATTTCCTTGAAGATTATTTGGGCACTTTAATTAATTGGGCACCTTGGCGACAACCACGGTTGGTCAAAGGTGCTGTAAATGTTAAATTTTTAATGAAAAAAATTAAGATTCAGAAAACACTCGAAAGTTGCCGGAAAATGTTCGGCATGGCCACCCTTATGGCTTTTAGTATTTTTGCATCAAAATTTCACCGGACAAATCGCCTCGAAAAGACGTTGATTGTATTGAAAAGCTATCTAACTTTGTTGCTATATAACAAATCACTTAATGTGCTTTCTCGTAAAATAGTTTTCGCTGGAGTCTCATGCAATGTTTCCCTCGACGAACATCGATACATTGATATTGCTATTTGTTATGAATCTGCAAAAAATATTGAATTATTGTAATTTTATTTGTCCATAGGAAATGTTGAAAAAAGACATAAAGCTCTTGAGAGCTTATCCTGTAGTGTACATGGTTTTGTCTATCTTTCCCTCAATAAACAGGTTTAGTTTTGTCATATCATAGTTAATATTTTGACTTGCATGCATTTATTTAATTAATACAAGTTATTAGTATATTGAATTCTGTGAATACAATAAATAAACGGCCTCTTGAAAAACAGGTGCCAACGAGCCCTAAAGAGTTACCTTTTTTTATATTTTTAAATAATGATAATAATATTTTTTGGTATATTCGAATCCTTGCTTGATACACATTATTTGAGGGAGAAGCTAAAGAGAGGAAGCTTTTTTGCTTCTTTAATAAGGAGGGTTCATTTAAGTGACGGCCAAAGTGGAAAAAGGAGAAAAGTTATTGTGTTATTAAAGAATAAGCTATTGTGATTCATATAATTGTCAATGATTCTTGTAATACAAACGTAAAATGCCAGTGTGCTGTTGGTATCGCGCTTTAACGTGTTTTGTTACTGCATTTAGGATTCAAAATGCATTTGACGAGAAAAGAATATTCTGGCTTGTTTTATTGCAGACCTTTACAGTTCCTCTATTTGGTACGTTATCAATTTTTCTTATCACTGTTCTTTTGCGATTGTCAACCAAAATTAATTATCTGTTACATCTTATTATTGGTACTGCACTTTTTCTACATGAATGAAAACCAGTGTTTTCTCCTGTTTCGATTATTATGTATAACATTTTCGTTAATTTCTACGTGCATAAATTACTGCATATCATGTTACCAAATGGAAAGTCGTTTCAGTAAATTAATTGCATAAGCGAGTCGATGTGGCCGTCAGGTTTTCCGCCAAGTTGAATCCGATGCAATAAATAAAGAGTATACAATAAATAAAGGTTTCTTATTTGGAAGTTACGTCATCTTGTTTATTTGTTTCTGGCTTTCTGCGTGACGGATTGTCATCGAATACAAAGTATCTCGTGTAACTAATTACTTAAAATTTCTGAGATTTCTGTATTGAGCTCCGAACGAAAGAGATACGACTTTATACCATCGCTTCGACTTTTTGCTTTAGTCGCACGCAAACGATGATTCACAGAATCTGTGTACTAACACTTTTTGAAATGCTTATTAAAACTATGTGTGTGATTTTTTAATTTTTTTTCATGTTATCTTAATTGTGTCATATAGCTACCTATTCCCTCTTATATATGCCAGCGAGTAACAATATCCTGTTGACAATTTGATTTGTATATTTTAGGTGCTATCAGTGCCTTGGTATTCGCATTCGATAGAGAAACCTTGCAATTGTTAAAATGGAGTTCTGTCAAGGTAGAAATATAAACTTTCGTTCTTTTTAATGGGTGTATTTTTTTTCTGCTCCAAACTTATCAGTCGTCTAATCGTTTCGTGTGCAAATGAGCATGCAAAATTAAACGGCATGGTATGACAAAAAAATAGGTACAAAAATAAATTTAGGAGTACTTACAAGAAAATGTACTCGTGTTACTTGTATATTCATTAGTCTTGTTAGTGGTTTGAAAGTCTCTAGATTTCATGAGGAAGAAAGTATGGATGTACATATTGCATAAACCATGGTGTAGCCAGCCTGCTAATTTTTTTTCTGTGTTGTGTTAATATTTCGGTTTTCACTCGCTGAAATTTAAATTATTGAACCAAACGTGCGGTCTGACTCACCGTGAGTGCATGGATCCCACATGTATTTTTTCTGTTGTTTAAACGCAATCTCTTCACATCATTAATTGATCTGAATCTGCGTTTATGAGGAAAAAATAATTGATGGTCATAACTGTGTAAATGTTAGAAAATCCTCATTTTTGACGTTTTGTTGACGTATAAGTGCTTAACAAAATTTTTCGTATTTAACCAATGAACGTGATGTAAGTTTTTCATTTCTTCGAGCATGCGCATTACACTCCAAAACTTGAAAAAATTGTGTAAAACAACTTGGTGGCCCACGAGAGGCATTGGGCATTGTCAATTTCGTGTAATGCAATCAATTTTCTCGATTAATAAAGACGAATACTGTTTAAAGTTTATGACCGGCTATTTTGTTTAGCTTTCGTGTGATTTGAAATATTTTAACGATAAACTATATGAGCCGTCGATAACAGTCATCATTGAACAGCGGTTTTTTCAATCTCGTGGGAAGGTGCACTGTATCTTTAATTATCATGGTATCAATTTGGCTATGGTTTCCATTTTATCATAATAACAATCAAAACTATTTCACCTGTAAGGCTGTCAATCAGAGTAATTTTATGTTTTTCGTCATCATGCTTTGTGTTGAAAGTTGTTGTAACAAGTGGAAATTTTGTCATAAATTAGCAGCAGCGTAACTTCTTTGAGCTTTGAGTGGGCAGAGCCACGGGCACCCAAGCAATCAGCTTGCAGGTGTGCACCAGCCTGAACGGTGTTATTTATGAAAATAAAGATAAAAGTAGGTTTATATTTGGGAAAGTGAAAGCCCTAGATATTTCTAATTTTTCGAATGTTTATGTTGTCAGAGAGGGGGGGGCGCACCCCATTCCGGATGGAACACGGGCAGCTCAGTTCAAACTTACGCCACTGTGCATTAGGCACGATCTTTATGGCTGCCAGCTAGTGTTGCGTGATCACGTGTTAGAGTTCCCACTTAGGTCAACGACGTTTGTTTCTATTTTGAATTATTTTGATAGGATGCGGTGTATCAAAGAATGCACGCGAGGACACGACTTGTCTCAGAGTATACCATTACTCAAACAACTGGCAGTAGTAGTTCTTCATGTTCGACGGGTGATGGCGCTGTAAATTTGTCTGTGAATAAGAACGAGGACGAAGAAATGGCTGCGAGTGCAGATGGAGCACCTATAGTTAATGAAAATTCGAACAATGTTTTCTAACGAACCACTTCGGGTGATATTAGGGTGCTATGATGTGCCCCTTCTTTAGTGCATTTCTTATATGAAATTGCTAGTATTAGCTTTATGTTTTTGACCTTCGTAGGTCATTTTGATATTTTAGGGTAATGGTTTTAACAGTACCACGTAAAAAGCACGTACAGCGAAAACGGAACTTTACTTTTATCATAATAATTTGATAAATGTCTTTTTTTAGAAACGAATCAAAATTAGTGATTTTGAAAGTCGCTCACCAATTCACCTGCACGGCGGTCATTGCTCTGTGCTTTTATTCTTATGAAAACGTTTAATCTCAATATTATTTATTTGACAACTTGCGAAAATGCGCATTAGCAGTAGTTTTATAATACAAATTTGGAAAGTATTGATTGTTTCTTTCTTATGGGACCGAACAGGAAATTTTATGTGAAAAACCTTTGGCAAAACATGGAAACCTTAAGTATTGATAGAAGTGGCAGTGCGGATGTGATGCTTTATTTTGGGCAGAAGGTACAATAGTAAAAGGACCAAAGTGAGCATTGACAACTTTTTAGTGTTTTTTGCTCACTTGTTCCTATAACAATTTGCCGTACTATGGCATTATTGCTTTATCTAAAGCTAAGATAAAGATGTATTAATCCCTTTAGGATTAATATATTATATATATTCTCTGATGATAGCTCTGGAATAAAGTCGAAACACGGTGCCATCCAGTAAACTGCTATAGTGGCGAGAATATATCGTCCATACGCAGTTTAAAAGAGATTTGACTCGTCTCCAATCCCTGTGGGCTTGGTAGCTCAACAGGTAGAGCGGCGGACTAGTATCTCGAAGGTGCGAGTTCAAATCTCGTCCAAGTCACATGTTTTTCATGTGCATATTGACAACCGTGTTAGGATTAATATAAGAAAAAGATGTTGTGGTGTTAAAACTGTTTGAAACATGAAGTAGTATAATTTTTTTGCTCATTTTTGCTCTGATCTTATGAAAAGGACTGGTGAAAAGCTCAACAAAAGTGACCACTCGCCCCGGCGGCTCATGCCAAGTTTTTTGTTCTTATCACAAATTACGTTATCCATGTATCTATAAATATCCGGTAACGTTTAAATGTAATCTTTTTGTCGATTCACTCGATTTAGTTTTCTTGAATCATGCGTGCTGTTGTCGTCTACATATTTTCTTCACACGTGCATATTTTTTATTGCTTGTATATTCCTTTCAAACGTGAGAATAATTCAAAAAATTACTTTATTTGAACGAAAGATGACTTAATGCTAACTATTTTTAGCATCTAGCTCTATGAAATTAGCATACTTAGCTAAATAATTGGAATCATGGAATGTGACTAATGGGTTCAAAACTTGTGGCAAATTCTTTTAATCCATTTAGGTTCTTCATAATGACGCAACGAAATTGCACTGTATTTCCTAATGATCCAGATTTGTGCGTGAGTATTTTGTTATTTGTTTTGTAGCAATGATTTTCGAAATACTTCATAATGACATATTTAATAGAAATTGTATAGCTATAGCAACTGAAAGTTTTGAATTTTTGATACGCTTCCATTGGTATCGTCTTTTTGAATGTCGTATGTCGTAAATCATTGTAGGAAAGACCATTAATGTTTAGCTTGATTTCATCTCTATCGAACGTAAACCAAACCTACTGAAACATCTGCGATTAAATACACCGGATCTGGTAAACTCTACAAATTGACTCATGCCATTCGAGAAGATGAAATGAAAAGAGTATGAAATTTGCAATGTTACTGAACATTTATCGTTTTAATTTGTTGTTGGTCATCATTGCAAATAAATCATAATGAATATTTTACTTTCAATTTTAATCGAAGCGTGCTCCTGTTGCTAAGTATTGGATTTTGTGACTTTATCATGGATTCACTAATTTGCCAGACTTGATAGTTGGTACTGTAGATAGTATGATTTCTTTTTTCTAACACTTTGCTACTAAAACTAAGGCAATATGGCTAACTTGTTTGTTGTGGCAAGAAATAACTAGCTAAACGTATCTGCATGTGTTTTTATCGCGTTGATTCACTTGACTGTTCACGCAGAAAATTTTTGAAATTATCAGGAATTGAAAGTGCAAATGAAATAGATAATGACATGTACATTAGTGCTTGCATGCGCTTTCTGCTGATTTCGGTCAGTTATACCTATGTATATTTCCTTTGGAATAGGGTTATATATTGATCTGCATTATCCTAGGAGCCGATGTAAGGGCATCGGTTGTTGGATTCCCTCAATTCCAAATAGTTCCAATTATTATTTGGCTGGTGTCTTAATTGTAAAACAGTTCTTTGTAGAACTATTAAGTTATTTTGGCCCTCTACCATGGCAATTGCCATTTTTAAAACAATGCTTAGATTTGTCACAACGAAACAGTCTCTATTTTAGCGTATTGTTCCAAATTTAGACAAAATTGCTCCCTTGTCTACTAGATTCAACATGTCAACAGTCTTGTTTAACTTAGACGAAGCAGTGGGTTTCGAAAAATCCCTTTGCATGACGAATGGAATATTGTCCGAACAAAAGCACGGGTCAAATTAGTGACTGAAGCACATATATACAATGTTTTTCTGTGATATTTTGGAATACTTTCTGATTACAAATCGTGCTAGAAGCTGTCCAAGGCGTAGCTTGCTCGATAATTGAAGAAAGGGGAGTATTTGTGTATTGCCCTAGTCCACATATAGTTGCTCATATGTTAGTCAGGGGACTTATTTTAAAAAATAAAACGAATGCCGAATATTGTATAAAAATAACATGGGAATGTAAAATTGTTTTTCAAACATTTTTATTCAAATAACTTTAAAGCATTCTTGGGAATACTTTTACTTCAGCTGCTGCAAGACCTGCATGACTGCTAGACAATTAGGTATTTAATGGTTATTTAGACTGCAAATCTCAGAATTACAAAGCAACATGCAAATATCATTGAAAAGCTAAAGCCTTTGCACAAAATCATTTAGTTAAACTAGAAAAATATTACATAAAAAGGCATGTAATTTAGCTTGATGGCGAAATTCCTTAGCATTCAGGACTGCGAGGACAAAGAATAAAAAATAGTGCCACTCCATAAATTTTTCAGTTGTGCCACGCATACATAATGGCTACCAATCAAATGCTTTTTTGATCAATAGGAACAATCAAATGGCTGACCGCAGCCAGTAATCTAATTGTAAATATACAGCACCAAATTGCATAGCGAGGTACCCCCTTTTGCATATGCATTCCTTATTCTGGGGCCAAGAGAAATTTTGAGTGAAGGGCAAAACTCCATCCAGGGCCATTTTGACGCAGTGTGACGGCATGTGGAAAAAACATAGATTTTTTCACTGACTTCATTAATTTCGAAGGAGCATTGCTCAATTTGTAAGTGCTCTCAAGGGCCACTTTAGGTGCCTTTTGTCCTCTCTCTACGACCCGGCTCACATTAAAAAACCACACATAAAAGTTTTGAAGAATAGAAGAAGTTAAGCTTTTGTACTTAAAAGTAATTGTAGACTTTAATTGTGTTTACTTTCGTAAGTGCACTTCCGTTATGCCTTTTTTATTTTTGCATTTAGTCATTTTTACATTTTCACTTTCTTTCCCAGGACATTATTGTTGCAGTCAGGCAAGCAATGGGCTCTCTTTCGCTTATTGGCTGGTTTGTTTTAATTTATTTCGTGCTTTTAATAATTTTACCAATTAGGACAACAAAAGCTATGCAGTGTACATGTTGAAATAAGTCTTTTTGTGGTGCTGTGAATATATGATTTGATTAAAATTGCAGCCTTGATTAAATTTAAAACACGCTTGAGTGAACTCATTGCTCTTTTTGCATTTTTTTAGCTTGGGAAAATGTAAAACACTCAATGAGCTCAATGAGCTGTGCAGCAAATAAATTCCCCAATCTTTGAATTAAATATGAAACTTTAAGTGTTTACGTACCGAAAATTTTGCTTTTTATACAGTACTATACAGAGTTTTTATAGGTCATGTCTGGTGTTCATCATTATTTCCTCATCTTTTGAATTTTGATGAGTTGCAAACAATTATATTTCATCAAATGTGCAAACAGCTCTAATATGTACCTATACATATATATTTACCATTATATACAGTTGTTTTCTATTTGTACTTACAGCGTCTAATTGGATTAGCGGGTTGTTTAATGTGATCGGATGGTGTGGAATGCGTTGTCATGGGTATTGGTGTATTGTAAATATGTTTGGTGTTAATATTATTGGAGTGTAATATTGTAGTTTTGGTGGTGTTTGTTGTTTTTTTGTCCTTTTTCTTTAGTTGTGAGTGTATGATTGGTATGTCAATGTGTCTGTTTATTGTGTCGTTGTCTTTACTGAACCAAGCTTCTTTAAATTCGCGTGCGTGTTTAGTCTGTGCGCGTCCGAGTACTTTAGTTTCTGTCCAGTCGAATGTGTGGTTGTTTCCGTGGGTATGTTCTGCCGGTAGTGAGTTCGGATCTCGTCGTTTTATGGCGTTTTTGTGTTTTGCGAGTCTTGTTTCGATTTTATTTGATGTTTGTCCTATGTATTGTTTTGAGCAGTTTTTACATGGTATCATGTAGATTGCGTCAGTTGTATCATGAATTGTCGTTTTGTGTTTATGTTTGGTGAAACATGATTTTAGTTTTGTGTAGGTTTGTGGGCGACGTTAATATTTAATTGTCGATGAAGCATGGCAGTCATTTCTGAGGTTCCGTTTATGTATGGTAATGTGATGATTTGTACTGTATCGTCCGCTTTCTTGTTGCTTTTGTCGGTTTGTGTTTTGTTTTGTGTTTTGTTTATAGTTTTGTTTATGAAGTTTCTAGGGTAATTGTTTTTAATAAATGTGGAGTATAAGTAGTTGCGTTCTGTTTTCTTGGCTTCTTCGGTGTTACAATGAGTGTTGATCCTGTTAAAAAGTATTCGAATGCAGCTTAATTTTTGTTGTGTTGGGTGATTGCTGTTGAAATCGAATATTTGGTCTGTGTGGGTGGTTTTGCGGTATACTTGTGTGTTTAGTGTACCGTCATCTGTTCTGGTCAGTATGATGTCAAGGAAAGTAACTTGTTTGTCGTGCTCGTCGTCTTTAGTAATGGTTATGTTCTTTGTGGTATTGTTTTTGGTGTGTAGGATTTGTTCAGTTTTGTTTTTCTTGAATATGGCAAAGATGTCGTCGACATATCTTTTCCATAGTCTGATGTTTGTGTTGTTTGTGATTAATTGTGTTTCGAGGTGTTGCGTGACGGCTTGCGCGAGGGAGGTGGATAGTGCTGACCCCATTGGTGTGCCTGAAATTTGTCTATAGTATGAGTTTTGGAAGGAGAATTTAGTGGGGAGGCAAAGGTTGAGTAAGTCTAGGATGTCATTTTTGTCTAGTTGTGTTGTAGCTTGCCAAGTTTTGTCGTTTGTGAGTAGTTCGTTTGTAATTTGTTTGGCTATGTCTAGTGATATGGATGTGAAAAGTGATATAACGTCGTAGGATATCATGGTTTCGTCTGGTCGTAGTTTAATGTTGTCAATGTTGGCGAGGTTGGTGGGGGCGTTTTTGATGGTGTGAGGGGAATTCTTGACTAGTGGATAGTGAATTAGACGCTCGAAGCGTATACAAATAAAAAACAACTGTATATAACTTCGAAAGCTTAATAAAATAATTTTTACAACAATCCGGAGAAACTTTTATTTTTATATATTAAATGCCTGGATTACCAATTTTCAAACTTATATTTATATAACAACAAAACAAAATACAAACCGACAAAAGCAACAAGAAATCGGACGAAACAGTAAAAATCGTCACATTACCATACGTAAACGGAACATCAGAAATGATTGCCAGACTTCTTCGACCATTTAATATTAACGCCGCCCACAAACCTACACAAAAACTCAAATCATGTTTCACCAAACATAAAGACAAAACAAAAATTCATGATACAACTAACGCGATCTACATGATACTATGTAAAGACTGCTCAAAGCAATACATAGGACAAACATCAAAGAAAATCGAAACAAGACTCACAGAACACAAAAACGCCATAAAACGACGAGATCCGAACTCACTACCAGCAGAACATACTCACGGAAACAACCACACATTCGACTGGACAGAAACTAAAGTACTTGGACACGCACAGACTAAACACGCACGCGAGTTCAAAGAAGCTTGGTACAGTAAAGACAACGACACAATAAACAGACATATCGACATACCCATCATATACTCACAACTAAAGAAAACGGACAAAAAAGCTACAAACAACACCAAAATTACAACATTACACTCTAATAATATTAACACCAATCATATTCACAATACACCAAAACGCATGGCAACGCATTTCACCCCATCCAATCACATTAATCCACCCGCTAATCCAATTAAACGCTCTAAGCGTCTACAAGCCAAAAGAAAGTGTAAATAAAAACTTCCTTATTCTGTTGAAGGCTCGAAGCAACGAGTCGAAAGCTCAATAAAAATCATTTTATACAATCCGGAGATTCTTTTATTTTTATACATTATATATATACATTACAAAGTGTATAACACTGTGCCCTCCTGGCTATCACTATTGTGCAATGGTAACTTCTGCATTTGGGACACAGGATGTACGGTATGCATTGTTTGGATTGCTTGTAGTGTCAGTATAAATCAAAATATTCTGACAAGTTAAAACGAGTTAGAAGATGCCATGAGAAAAGAAACATCTCCATGCACGTACAATGAGACCTCGGTATCTTACAAAATGTTGGGAAAGAAAATACCGGTCAGTGAACAATGGGAAGAAGTGGTGTTTTCGGATTTACTTTTCAGGCAAATACCTGGAAGAAGTAAATTGTTTGAGAACCGCTAACAGCTAGAATGTCTCGTTACCAGTCAGGCATCTTTGGGAAAAAATACTTACAAATTTAGAAAGTAAACTTTGCAGGAACTTATTAGAACTAAAACTTCCATCGTTTAAAACTGGGATGGCTAGATGGCCATAAACATGTATAGCCTGGTCGCATCGATTACTTGTCGTTTTAATTGCTGCTAGGGATGGTAGTATCAATGAAACCTGTAAAATGTCTGAAAATGTTAAGAGCTCTAAAACACAGCGTTTCTACTTTATTATGATCTAAAACTTTTGCTGAATTACTCAATAAATAGTTATGTTGTGCAGGTTTTTTGAATTGACAGCAAACAGTTTCTAAATATCTCTTCTCGTTCCCAAAATATTGAAGTTTATAAAATGTCCAGTTTTTACATCCATGACGTCATTTTGCAATCGCCAAAATCTTCAAATCTTGTAACGTTTTGAGGAAATAAATCAGGCAGATTTACCCTATTAATACTGTTTATAACGAAGGGATCGCTGCTTGGTTGAAATAAAATGTTAATTTTTTATGTATTAATTATTCGTTATCTTGTTTGATTTATTACGATTAAAATCAACCCCATGTTGTTTTACCATTGAAGATTGACTGGGGTTATGTGATCTGCATAACTGTGATTATTTCTATTGATTTTCTAAACTTGTGGTATCACTCTTTCCTTTCTCCACATCTTTGTTGGGGTAGTTATTTTATTTTTTTTTATCATTTTAAATAGTTTTAACAATTTTTGTAAATATCTCTGGGTTATTTGTTATGTAATACAATGTCATTGGTTGTAGAAAACAAGGCATTACAAAACTTCAATATCTTTATGGTAAAAAGAGTTATTCTAGAACTGTTTTAGATCGAGAGTCTGAAGTCTTTTGAAAAGTTTGTTTTGATAAAACTGTAATTTGAAAAGCAAAATTTTCTCTTCATATCATGCTCTTTAAATATTGTGCACGATGCATCGATACACATTTGCCTATGTACATTGCTCGATTATATTGAGTGGATTTGCAATTAGTTTCTTAACCAGATAAGTTTTAGTTTCATTTTCTTTCAACTGAGCACTGTTTTTTTCCATGTATGTCTTGCTGTCTTCAAGACAACAAATTTATTTCGTTTCAGCTTGTTTATCATCGTTGTCATTTGGTTGTTCAAGAAAAATCAAATATTTACTTGGGTAAGGTGTAAGCGATTTGGTCGTAGTTATGCAACATGTTATACTAATATCTGTGTCAAAACCAAAGATTCTAATAAAACATATTTTGTTTTTGTAAAAACAATAAAGTTACATAACCTGTAAAATTCTTAAAATACTTCAATTGTTAGTTTCCCTAATGAAAATATTTCTGAGAAGTTCAAAATTGCATGCTAAATTAACACCCCGTCATCTAATACGAACACAGATTTTCAATTTTAATTGAAAAATACGGTTGTTTTTTTCTTTTCAGCGTCTGATTTTATATCTCAGCATTGCAGCATGCCTAAATAGCATTACTTTTTTAATGGTACGTAACGTGCTTAATCAAGTAACCAGTTGCGTAGTCTGCGAGCAAGTTAGCTTATCAATTTGAATAGTTTGATGTTCACTCACTTCAAAAATAATAGATTTCTAAAGGAATCTAAAACTAGCATAGTAAGACCAAACTTGAAGACTGGCTACGCCACTGCAAGCAAATGTATATTGCTTCATAAATGACTTCAATTTTTTTATCTAGCCTGGTTTCCTATCTGAAGGACCGTTGTGCAATTTTCAAGCCTGGTGGTTAACTTTCTTTAGTAATTAATCATTCATTTTTCATCAAACAACTATTATAAAAAAAAAGCAGCAAATAATGTTCAATGAATATTTAATTAATTAAGTTGACTTAAGGTTTGTTATGATGTGAAATAACTTAACACCGTATTTCATGGCAACAGTAGCTGCGAGGTGGAAAAAGAATATGATAGCGATTTAAGGGTATCAAATTAAAATAAAGCATTTGCAATTTAGATCGAATAGTTCTATGATTTTGATATACTATATATTTACATAAATAACCTGCAAAAATGCATATCTAATATACAGGAGCCGGCTGCTCGAAGCCTGGATAGCGTTATCCATTTGATAGCAAGTTCTTTTAAACTTTTATAAAACCTTTTAAAGAGAAAAAAGTATAAATTCGAACTGAACAATCACTGAAATAAAATATTGTTTCGAAGATTACGAGATTTCTTCGTCGTAAGAAAAATATAAACACCTTTTTTACAAGTTTGAAAATTTTTGCTATCCAATGGATAACGCTATCCAGGCTTCGTGCAACCGGCCCCAGATAAGCTACTCTCAACTATTCAGCTAATTTTAAATTCGCATATTTAACTTATCAGTTTCAACACATCAGTACTTGTTACTTTCTTTCCAGTTTGGGCGGTGGTACTTTGGGCATGTTGCATTACCTTCAATCTTTATCAAAATGCCATACGGACCATGAGAACAGAAAAATATGAAAGGTATGTTTTTTAATAGGAAAAAATTCTTGAATGTTTGAAGTCAAATATCTCTGAAAGTCTATAAAATTTGGTATAGATTCATGTAAATTCTTAGAAGTGTGTTTTCATTGCCGATCTTCTGTTAACAATGTTAATCACCCTCACAAAAACAATATGCAAGTTTTTTAAATATTCATGTTGTTTTTTTGTTTTTAGCCTTATGTGACCTTATTCGTTTACACCACTAAGTATTTTCAATAAATTACACAGAAGAACAGTTTCGAATGAATAACAAAGAAGACAGTTCTGGCAAAAATATGTATTGAGGATAGCTTATTTAAGTATCATTGAGATAGCTAAGTCATGCATTTGAAAGAATTTTCTTTAACATGAAACCCTATAATATCTTAAATTCGTAGGCTATCAAACGAAAACAATATATTATTTATCAATATGTGTTGTTTGTTGATTCCTGCAGTTTGAGCTAACAAAAACCCATTTGCTAGATTTAGAAGAAGTTAAACGTATTTTTTATGCCACCCTTGCGTCACAATTTGTCTAGCTTGATTACAGGAAGTGCTAATTTTATTTTAGGATCTACCACTTCATATCTTGGGGAGTGGCTCTAGTTGCCTCTTGTATTCCTTTCATTGGAAATCATTATGGACCTGCAGATATGTGGTGGTAGGTATGAACATTGTGTATATATATGTATATTATTTTGCGGGAGAATCTTCAACATGACAAGACTGGTATGAAAATTATACTTTCCATTGTCCGAACATATACTTTCCGAAATACTGCACAAAAGGCTCGTCTTAATTTTTACATATGTCTTTCAAAGTTAAATCGAGTGAGGTGTGTCAAGATTTTTATAAGCTAGTGCAATTTTTTTCCATTAAGAAGTAATTTGACGTCCATATCTGCAATGCTTTATATATTAGGAGTTAAATTTACGTCTATATCTGTGATGGTTTACAAAGGATAGGGGAGGGGAGAGGGATAAACTTTGGAAGAAAGGCAAGTTTTGTCTTTCGAAAACCCCACTGAACTAAATTCTTATAGCTTGTAAACAAGAACTCGTTTTGCAGTTATTATCATTTCTACTTAATGTTCATTCGAGCCATGAGAAACATTTGCTTAAAAATTTGATTGAGAAAGCATGAGTGTTGTCATTATACCTAACTTGCAACTTTCAAAAGCTCAATACGCGGACAGAATGAGCTCATTTGACATGTTTTGAAATTAAAATCAATAAAAGGTTAAGTTCGCTGCTCTTGTAAAATTGTCAAAAAGTGTATGTTATTAGGTAATTTCGTATTAACACTCTTTATTGTTAATTTTCTACTTATTGTACGTTTGAAATTTTTTAGCTGGATCCATGGAAAAAGCTCTCGCGCCCAAGTTATGCGGTTTGTAACGTATGTACACAATATTACACTTAAGATTTTAACGTTATTTTTGACGTTAAAATCTTAAGTGTAATATTGACGATAGGTTAAAGATATAAGTGTTCAAGCATTAACTATACACAGAAGTGTTTGTGACTACATTTCTTTGTCGTGTTGTTACATGGTGAAACTCATCAATAAAATTATATTTCAATTCCGTTGCAGGTTTTACATACCTTTGTGGTGCATGATTGCGTACATGCTTTTAACCTACTTTGTCATCGTGTGGAAGCTTCGACGTATGGTCTGTATAAATATCCAGTTCTATATTGTGTGTTTTAGAAGACCTACTTTTTTCTTTACTTTTTTCTCTCTCCTTGATCGTTTGACTGGATCAACTTACTTGCTCCATTATGCTAATCCACGCATAAGAAGATATGCGTCATAGCAAAAAAGTCAATAGATTCAATGCTTCCAATGATACCCCCATACTGTGGTTTCTTAAAGTGCATTTTTTAGGTTGATCGTTATGGAGGAACCTATAGCCCAGAGCTCGAACGACAAAGAGTACGTAATGAGGCAATAATATGTAAATTTATTATTATTTTCACTTTATTGAAACGTTAGACCTTCAACGTAAGTTCTTTTTTGTCGTGACGTTTTTCAAGGGGATAACCAATTTATCACTTTTGTGATTTAACATTTGATACTCTCAAAAAACAAACATTAGCTACTTTCTTTTCAATTCTGCTGAACGGAATCGCCCGTTTCCACTTGCGAAAATTTTCCGTGGAATGAAATATTTCAAGGATATATTTTTTCCAGCAATGATTTCTATTTTCCAGTTGGCTGTACCAGGGTGGAAATAAATACCCTCACTTTTATTTGGGAAATAAGACTTTTAGAGCACGATTATTTTTAAACAATTTCGTATTACTTTATGCTAATTGTTTCTCACAGTTGTGACCTGATTGGCTGACTGCTAATTTTCTAAAAGACTAAATACAAAAAGTTGAAAAATTTCTACTTGAATAACCATTTTGGTTTGGAAAATTTGATCGTATCTCTTAAGTACGCTGCGCAAGCTGGAAAATTGTACTTTCCGTGGAAAATTTTCTTTTGTTAAAGCGGGCCTTTAATTAGAGCCGCCCAATTTAGAATTCAAAATACCTAACAATGCTAGGTATTAGGCAATGCTTAGGTGTTATGAATCTGCAAAAAACATCAAATTTTTTTCGTTTACTAAGTTTCCACAATTATTTTTGTTTGTCATAGGAATTTTTGAGAAAAGATGTAAAGCTCTTGAGAGCTTATCCACTGGTGTACATGGTTTTGTCTATTTTTCCCTCAGTAAACAGGTTGAATTTTGTCATGTTATTCTATTATATACTATTATAGTTAGTGCTTATTGTTTTTCAGTCGTTGCCATATGAAAAAATATATGTAGTGCGCAAAATAATACGTATCCTTAAAAGCTCGCTCCGGCATTAATCATTATTTGAACATGCAGCGTTTTCAGCCAAAACAAGACATCGCAGATTTATAGCTGAGTAAAGATCGATGCAGTTGCATTTAATGATTGATTTGTCTGATTATGACGATTGCTTGTGCACGGAGCACGTTTTCTAATGATATTAAATTACGACATAGCATGTTTTATTTTATCTACCAACCATATAAGAGGATCCATGCAGAACTTGCTTTAGAAGCATTGTTGTTCGAAACGTGAAGAACTGTTAGCGTTTCTCTGAAAGGGATTTCCATTGAAAAGCAACAGAGAATTACGCGTAGGAAGGTCGATGATTTTTGAGATATCATGCATATTCATGTATACATATTATAGTCCGTTGAAAACTTCAAATGAACTTAATTCTGCGTATCATAAAAATATGAGTATGAGCCCTCCTGATCATCGATCTTCCTTCCCCTATGGGGGAGAGAATGAGTAAAATATTGTTGTCTCCTTTTCATCTGCCATGTTTGTTTTTTGGACGACTTCACCTGTAAGAGTTTTAAAGAATAGCTGTAAACCACAATACAACGCGCGATGAAATGATCTTTGCGACCATTTTCTTGTTTAAATAAATAGACAAACGTTCTATTAGCTGGTAATCCGTAAATATTCTATGCGTCTTTTGTAGATGTAAAAGAATTTGTGTCGTTTTTGAATCAAAAAAGCATTTTCAAAAGCTTGCAAGTGATATTTTTCATTAAAGTATCTGTTTGGGTGGGCAAATTACCAGGGGTCTATTGCCAAAATTCTTACCAGGGGGGCTGGAATGATCAAGCGTATAAAATCATCAAATCATAGGTTTATTGGAGGCGAATCATTTAAATATGTGCTTTACAAATTGAGATTATGGCCTGATTCGTACGTTGCATTTTACATGAGACGAATGCATTCAAAACAAAAGATAATGAGCAATTTTATCTCATTTTCTTTTGTCTCTAATGCATTCGACACATGTAAAATGCGACGTATAAAACAAGCCTATGAACCCCACCTTTACAAGCCAAGACTTATAAAGGTGGGGTTCAGCCGCTCAGCCCGCCTAATTTGACAAAAAATTCTAACAAGGGGGGGGGCAAGCCCTCCTGAGCCCCCCCTCCAATACACCCCTGAAAATAACTACTCAAAACTAGTAAGTTTAACGGTTGAAACTAGTAAGTTTAATGGCAAGTTTAACGGTTGAAACTTGGAACATCAAAACTTGGTTTTCAACTATATATTGGGTATTTAAAATCAGATACTTTTGACTATTGTCGAAGTTACTTAATAGTAGTTAGTTCAGAGAGTCTTAGAGAAAGATAATCCTGTACTGTGATGGAACAAATTATCATATTTAACCCTAATATAAACAAACAAGAGGGGCGCGTTGGATTGTGGTCGACAATGATTCTTTAAACTTCCATACTTCTATGCTTCAATATACACACGTCTATACTTCTATCCTTGATTAATACTTTTATGCTTCTTTATATTTCTAAACTTTTATACTTCTATCCTTCATTACTTCTATATACACACACATCTATATACTTTATACCTAATTTTTACTTTTATACTTCTATATACTTCTACTCTTTTATGCTTCTATGCTTCTATTCTTTTTTCTTTTATAGTTATATACTTTTATACTTCTACATACTTCTTGCATGTCCAAAGTCTTTAATACTTCAATACTTCTTACTTTTGAAAAGTGGTCTATGTACTATATACTTCAATACTTTTTGTATACACTACTTCTAAAGTCTAAACGTCTTCCAAGTTTGCAGTTGAAATTCACCGAAGACTTCAATTATTTAAAGAATCTTCCTAAAAAAATCGGTGAATTTTCAAGAAGGCTAATCAAACATTCTGATTGACTAAAGGAACAAATTATATCCCTATTGTTTTCCGTTATGCTTTTTTGCCTACTATATGATCAAAATCAAATAGTTCATGTCCAAAAAGAAATGCTGTTTTTATGCTGCTTATAACGTTCTTTAACGTCTTTTATTGTTGAACTTAGGATTCAAAATGCCTTTGATGACAAAAAAATATTTGGGCTTCTTTTAATGCAGACCATTTCATCTCCTCTCTTTGGTACGTGGTCACATTTCTTTATTATTGTTCTACGTCTACCATTTGTTACAAAAGTTTGAGTTGAGATGAATGAAAACCATCCTTTTTTTGCTATTGTAAGTCGTAACATTTGAATTAGTGCAGTAATATTAAGCGAGTGAATGTCACCATCAGGTATTCCATTACATTGGATGAATAAAAACTTTTTGTGAGGAATTACTATCTTGTTAACTTGTTTTTACGTGAAACCCTGTCATCGGATTCAAAAATGCTACAAATACTTAATACACAAATACTCATATACACTAAAATACGTAGCATAATTCATTTAATAAACATCTCTGTCAAATAAACGTTTTACATCTAATAAACACTCACTTCATTAAGCATGAGTTAGAATTTGACGCCTCCGTGTAATAACATGCACGTCCTTACCACATTACCATTGTGAGTACATAATTATAGCAGGTTGTCGATTGGCTCAGAAAACGTAAATTTAGTCTGCCTTATTTTATTACACAAACATTTACGGTAATTAAACTATGACTGTAATTTGATCTTCACGTTAATTCTGTGACTAATATTGCATCGTATGAAAGATCAAGTATTAAAATTCCACTGACAATTTGATGTGTCCATTTTAGGTGTTGTCAGTGCCTTAGTATTCACATTTGACAAAGAAACCAGGAAACTATTAACTTGGAGCTCTTTTAAGGTACAAATTTAAACTTCGGAGGTTTGAAATAAGTGCATGCATTCTTTTTTCTGCTGCGAACTGATCAGTTATCAAATCGTTGCCCATGCAATTAAAGCAGTACAGTAGCATGCGAGCAGCATGATATGAAAAAAATTCAGTTGTACACGACCAGAAAGAAACTCGTGAAACCCTGGACTAGCCACTCGATTTTCTGTTTCGAATTTGAGCAAATTATCATGGTTGCTAGTTTCTATAGTTCTCAAAGCAACAATCAAAATGTGAAATTGAAATTGTCAGTAACAATATATATTTTCGTCTTCCTGCCTTGCGTTGAAATTTTTGCAGAAAGTGAAAATTTTGTCATGCAATAGGCACGATCTATGTGGCTGCCAGTGTTGTTTGGTAACGTGATGGAATCCCCAATTAGGTAAGCGATGGTTGTTTCAATTTTGCATTGTTTTAATAGAATGCGATATATCAAAGAATGCATGCAAGACCAGGAATTGTTTCGGAGTACCCCATCATTCAAACAACTGGCAGTGTTTTGTCGAGGGTGACGAGTGATGGCATTACCAATTTTTCTACGAGTGCAGATGTAGCAATTACAGTCAATCAAAACTGTGACGACGTTTCTAAACAAACCACGCCAGGTGACACTGGTATTGTGTGAGCACAAGGGTATAGCTAACCGCTTATTGAATTATGCTATGTTAATTTTTCTGTGCTCATTTCATCTTAGGTCTTACAGTGAAAATTATAGAATTCTAAGGAAATGAATAATGAGAATGTTCTATAAAATTTACAAATTAATGCTAAAACCTGTAGATTCGACACGACACTGTGCAATAGCTCTTTAGTTTTAAAGTTTGCTGTGATGTACCTATTCACAGAACATTTTTATGTAAATAAATGCTCCTGTTCTCTCTCCTAGTTCATTTATATATCTGTTTATTTGACAAAGGCTAGCGCAATTCAGAGAAAAACTCTTTTCCCTACATATTTAGGGGTAAAGTTTTAACCGTGCCACGTTTAACCAAGTACAGTGAAAACAGAACATGCCGCAAATTTATAATAATAATTTGACAAATGGCTTTTTAGAATGAAAGATTATGAAAATTGCTGACCAATTCACCTGCACGGCGGTCATTGCTCTATGTTTTTATCCTTATAAAAATGTTGCAGTCTCAATAATATTCATTTGACAATTTGTGAGTATGCGCGTTATAGCAGTAGTTTACTATAAAAATTTGGAAGATATTGATTGTTTCTTTTACATCTCGTAGGATCGAAGAGAAAAAAAGCATTATGTAGCTAGTTTTCCACTCTGGCAATTCTAGGTCTTTTTCTTCTCAACTAACTGTTTTCTATAAAAAAGTAAACGTTCTCTAGTGGAGAAGCTTCTGGTTTTACTAAACTGTGGTCTAGTAACTTAAGTTTTTTAGAAGGCAATATGTTTTGCGAAATTCAATAATATCTCTGTGTGAAAGTCAATCATTAAAAGTTAGCAAGGATGAAAACGGAAACAGTTAATAAAAATTAGGAAGGTTACATCACTTCGAAATCTGCCTGTGATAAACTAAACCTTTGAACGCAATTATACATATCACACATTTCTGATTATGCACGTGACAAACGCATGAGCAATAAGTCACCCGGTGTATCGCATGCACAATCAAGAAGTTACCTGAAAAATTTAAAATTCAGCAAAATTATGCATGGTGATTCAAAAATGTCTCAACATCGTTCAAAAACAGCTGATCTACTATAGATGCAATTACAATATAAATAGATTATTACAAAACTTTACAATTAAATTGGGTCTTGTTCCATTTGATCTTTACCATAAAGAAGTTATTGTTTCATGAAGACCAACAATGTTTTGATGACGTTATAGAGGTCGGACTTTCACATTTGATTACATCCTCTTAAAGGGGAAATTGTTTATGGGTCGTTGGGTAGTCTTGTAACTGAAGCTCGACTATAAAATATAAAATATGTATTAGGAAAACTGGGAATACCATTTCAGAAACCAAAGTTTAAAAAATTTCCAGAGGGAAACGCCTACAGACCCACTAGGTGTGCCTGGGTGTTCGCAATCTCACGCACGCACAAATTTGAGCCTTAGGTATGTATGAGAAGAGCGCTCGCTATATACGGAACGTATAAAAATAAAGTTGATAAAGATTTTTAAGGGGGCATGCCTCCAAACCACTCATTGTAATCTTGCATCTTTGGCGCTTACATGAGTAGCATCGTCCGCCCTCCAGCCTGAACAACCTGATTCAATTGTGTACCTGATTTAATTTCTCAAATTCATGAAATATTGTTCAAATTACAGATGCACACTGTACATCTGAAAATTCAATTTTCTTCGAAACTCTTGATTGACGGCTGACGAGTTTTGCTCTCGACTGCTTGCTTTACTGCTAATTTTGTCTTGGCGACCTGCATTAAACCCCGCCCTTTGTCATGTTGCTATGACAACAAATGTAAACAAAATGTCGTGTTTCATAAGAGTTGGATTCCCGTTCTAATCATAAAAATGATTTTAGTATTGCGCAAATTGAGACGTAAGAAGATATTAATTATTCTTGTCATTCAAAAGAGCGACATTCTATGAATGGGTTCAAATTTTAATCGTTTTCTTGTGTAGATCCGAGTCAAAATAAACAGGCCTTTATCCTCTTATCATGGTCGTGTGCTTCGAATCTTTATAAACATGCGACAAGGTAAATACGTTGTCTCTTGGCGTGATAATTGGATTGTCCTTGTTGGTCTTTACTACATACGTGCTTGCAGACAAGAGCATTAGAAAGATGTTCGTTTAACTACGAGCTACTGAAACTAAGGCTTTTACGCAACGTACGTGTATAGTGGTCAACATAATCAAACATATCATTTTATAACATAACATGAAAAGATATTTTGGTTTGTTTTATTACATCCGAAAGACCTTATTAAAGAAGCAATCGAGCTTATCAGTAATCGCAGCTGTCTTTTCTTTCCAATAATTCAATGAACAAAGAATTCAGTTCTTATTGTTGCTATCATATTGTTTATTTATTTGGTTATATTTGCTCACAAATTTTGGTATTTTATTGTTTGATTACAAGATTATACTCTTACAATTATTGTATATTTCCGAATTATATACAGGATTTTACATTTTCAAATTACTGTTATAAATATTGCTTCACTGGCATGTGTTCAATGAAGAGTGAAATATGTTTGGTAATAGTTTGAAACTTTGCACTACCATTGTTGTGACAACAAATTTTTGAAAATAAATTAGATGGAAAGTGTTATGTCCTTTAAAGTCATTGAATGTCACGTATGTATCATTGTGTAGAAGGGAAATCTGAGATGATAATGGAAATCTTCAATAAAATTGACATTAAGAAGGTTAGTGGGATCATTTATGTTAAGTTTATTTTAATATATGTGAAGCTACTCATGTTATACTAACAACATCAGTAACATTTTGATGACTTGCAGTATGTTGAATCAGAATTTTAACTATGCCGAATTGTTTATTGCCTGAAAGGCAATAAACAATTCGGCATAGTTAAAACAAGCTGTGTCTCTGTAGGGGGCATGACAGAATTAGCATTACATAAACAGAATACAAAATTGTTGTAAGAGTGACTCAATTTTCAAGTGCCAAATTACAAGTATGTACTTTTCAAAATTCATGGGCATTTTGTGGTGTTGGCAGAGGGGGTGCTGCAAATTTTTATTTTGGTAAACCTCATTGAAAAAGAAATGACTTTTAAGTGTAGCATAAGCAGAAGAAAAAAAAATCAATTTGAAATGTGTTATGGAATCTTTGATAGAATTTTTTGATATGTAGTTAAGATTCAATGAGCTGACTATTGAATAAAACAAGTCTGCTTGGCCTATTCAAACAACCAATTGATTCTATTCAAGATGCTGTGACAGAAGAAATTTTCCTAAATAACATTTCTTCATAATAGGTTTGAATTCTTATCTCTAAATACCGACTTCATGTTTACCTGTGGTACTAAGTAACCTGAGGAGGTGAAGCCATAATGCTTACTTCTGCTCTGAATGTAATATTGACCTCAATGCATCTCGATAAATCTGAATAGCAAACTTTAGAAATAAAGTGAATTGTTTGAACCCAAGAGTATCCTCAAGTTGATTGCTGCTCAGTAGTGAGAGCAGTATATTTTATTGCAAGGGCAAAACACCCTCAAAGCTCACTGTTTTATATCACTGACATTTTCAAGCCATATATAAACATCTAAGTATGAGAAAGATTGGAGGGGATAGGGGAGGACATAGAAATATAGCAGAAATGTATATAGACGCACTAAAATTTGCATGTTGAGATTGACCATGTGTAACTGCACAGGTACCCAAGTGTCAGCTTGCCAGGGGTACCCTGAATGGTGTTACTTATTAAAGTAAAAATATAAAAGTACGTTTAGAATTGAGAAAGTTGAAGTACTGAATATTTCTCATTGGAGGTCATTTGGGATTTTGTCTTCCTGGTAGTAAATTAAAAGCTCAATTTGCTATTTTTCTGTGTATAATAGAATAAATTGAAAAAAGATTTAATATTATGTTCTATTAATGATAATTAAGAAAATGTTTATGTTGTCAGGGGGAGGGCATACCATGCTTGAAAGACCACGAGCGGCCTGTTTCAAACTTACAACATTAGAAGCATTGAATTTGTGGAAAATCCACCACACAGATTATTTATGCATAGGAAATATCAGTGCATAGTGACATGACTTGTGCAGCAGCATTATGAAAAAGCTGTGTCAGACGTCAGCATTAGCGAAAATACTACTAATTAACACCATTGCAAATGAGATAATTGAAGGTTTATGACGATATTTGAGGAGAGGTGAACAAGCAACCTAACGATAAGTTCTGCTCAAGTAGCTTTTTCTCAGTTCTGTTATTGGGACCGTTCATATGCTTCGGGAAGACATCTAAGAGTCCAACATTTCTTGCCAATTTGATAATTTTTTGCCAACCTTTCCTGTTCAGGATTTTCAAATCTTTTTACCCACCTAGTTTTCGCTATTTAGCAAATGAATTTTATGTAGCCGTTCAGTTGGAATATCAAATGCATACGAAAGTACGACGGTATGTCAGTACAGTACCAAGTTATTCAGTGACAGCGAACTTTCATGAACCAGCACTAGGGCCGGATAGTGTAGTTACTACCAGTCTATCCGCCAGTTGCGGTAGTTCCTCCTTTTCTTCATCAAACATCATTAGAAAACAAGATCATCATCACTGTTACAATTATCCTCCCTACTTTCAATTGAAAGATAAACAACAACTCACCGTTCTGTCTTCAGGCTCCTTTGTTTTCTCCATCTTGTAACTGGGATGAAACTTTCGCTACTTGCTTCGTTCGTTCTAAAGATTCTAGCAACTAGCGTTAGATCCAATCATAGTCTTCGAACTTGCAACTTCGATGACGTCAATCTTTATGCATTTGCCTATCATAATCTGACGTCGAAGCAATTAGATGCAACGGTAACGTCAGCTGTTTTTGCAGACTCTGCTAAGAGACCAGTTTCATGGGTTTTGTAGAATATTTTTGGATATGCAAGGTTTGCTTGCAGACTAACTGAAAGATTAGAGTTACACGTCAAATTCTATTTTTCAACTTCCACGAAACATTTTTCTGAAAACTGCTACGAACGCTGTGAATTTTTTATAGCACGTTTTGTCCACTCGATGAGATAGAAGCATTTGAAAGTATCTGATGAAAATGTCGTAAGTAGCTAATGTGCGTTTGAATTTATGATCAATTGAAATTATCTTTGTTCATTCTTGTGAAAGAAAAATAGTTTTCTCTTGCACATGTGGTATTGTTTGATGCCATCGCATGCATTTCATTCTTTTTCATGTCCCCAGCATGTTTTAGAAACACGTACTATGTTTCTAAAACATGTACTATGTACTATGAAATTTCTTTTCCCGCTACCTGCTCTTTTTTTCTTTCAAGTACCTTTATTTTTACAGCATAAAACATTGTGGTCCCCCCAAATAACCACGTTTAAAGAAAACTTTCAAGAACATATGAATGCCATAATTTGTTCGAATGCTTTACATGAGTATAAAAACAGGATTTAGAATGCAATTACGTAGCTCCGTACTAATTTTTGTGATATTGGGAGACACTCGAGAATGAACGTGGACATAGATTCCAAACGTACGAATATTAGAAAAACGTTTCTCGATCGTTACCATGTTTTTGGTTAATTCTTTGATAGAAAAATCTTATTTTATATAAAAATATTCCCATTTTGTTTCATAGTACTTTATACAGTTCTAACTAATTTGTAATCTGTGTGCTAGCAAATGGCGGAAAAATAACAAGCCTTTCTATAGACCATAGGTAAAATGTTTCTTACTCGCCTCGTCAGATATCATGAATGCCACTGAAAGTAAAAGCTCAAACTGTAGAGAGAATATCCAGTTGATTTGAATTATTCACTTCAAAATCGCGTCTGAAAAAAACTAAATTTTTAGTTTGTCAGTAATTGTATATCACGTCTTTTTACGTATTTCTAGAAGAATGACGATGAAGTAGTTGACGATGACGAAACTATCGAGATTTATCAACATTTTGAAAAATTGTTGATTTTGTCACTGCGCCTGTCTTGTATATAGCTGTTATCATGCGTTTCAACAGGCTTTTGCTCTGATATTCCTTGGAATACCAAGTATTGCGTTAAAAAACGCTGACGGCTATCACATACTTTTATTTTTCTCTCCTCCCAAGTGTATGGCTGATAAAACTTTGATTACTCTCCGGCTACCGTTAGCTGTTACTGAGCTGTTGTCTGTGCATTCAAATTTTTAACCATGAATCGAATAATAAAGCGTGACTCCCAAATCTAATCATCCGAATCGTTTCAGTCGTCTTTAGAACGCAAAAACTCTCTCCAGACGATCAAAAACTCAGTCGAGACGACTCAAACGAATTGGGGGACTAAAGAGAACTAGCCTTAAGAAAATACGTTTGAACAAAAATATTTATAATAGCGAATCTGGTTTTACACCTTTAGAAACAATATTTGAAGAAAAGAGAAAGTTGACAAGTCGCTCGGGTTCAGTTGAACGAATTTCGCAACATCGAAGCTTACCTAAGTATGTCTTCATTTTTTGGCTCATCGTCTATGGTAGCTTACAATTCTAAATACTTGTTTGTAGATGTGCATCGATCAGTGGTGTTGGTACTGACTGATGTTTTGACAAGTAAGGAGTTTTCTTGACTGAACTCTGAAGATGACTATACCGCTACAGCTCAGATTGTCAAAACGTCAGTGAACACCAACACCAACTGTCATTCTCAGGACTGCACTAAACTTGTGATGATAGTTCCGGGTTCAAACTATTCAAATCTAAAGACTTTATCCATGGCTTTGACGTAAAGTTTGTTTGTTTCATGATATTTGTCATTTTTTGCATAGAGAGATAGCTAACAGTAGCGAAGCCAGCCCGTTTTTTACTTTTATAATGCAAATATTTTTTTGTTCAATCACTCGAAAAACAATGAATGGAAATGATTTTCAAGAGAAAGCAATAATAATTTTGCCAAGAAATTTTCATTGTAAAAGTTAAAGATCGGGCTAACATCGCTACTAAGAGAGAATCAAACAGCCATCTTTTTCTTCACATTAAAATAATTTTTTGCTCTTCGTATTATGTGGCGAATAAATTATTTTCTGTTCGTTTTCTGCTAATTTCATTTTCATATGAAGACAAAATTTGTTTGCTCCGTTCTTTCAGACATCATTCAGGTCTCAAGTTACGTCCGATTTACCGTGAAGAAGTTGATGACTTGAAAATGTTCCCATCATTAGTTAAAACGCGCGATCTTTTTGTCAAAACTGAGCCAGCGCAAAGGAAGTTTGAAAATGTTCCTTTTTGCAATGTGGACTTGAAACGGCACGAGTGAGTTTTAGTCATTTCATTTTTCATTGTTATTGGGTTGCAAAGATTCGATTGCATGAAATAAACCCGATAAAATGCTGATTTTAAACACATTTTGTCTTCTAGGTATTCTCAGAAGCAAAAGAGTAAAAGTTGTAGTGAGCTACCCAGTATAACAAATCGATCTGAAAAACAATCTGACGCTTGTACATGCACTTCAGAGTCCAAAGCGTTTGAAAGCGAAATACGTAAGCGCGGTCGATCCCTTTCTTCTGTTACGCTCCCTTCAGTTGAAAATTTTCCGCAGATAATTTCTTCGCGACATCATGACGACACTTCACGGCATAGCATGCTGGAGACGCTAGAAAAATTTGAACGATTGATCATGGAAAATGACCTTCCATCATCTGATGCAAATGAAACATGTTGCTTGACACATAAGTCTGTTTATCGTTTGCCGAACGATAAAAAAGTGCAACTAGATGCAATTGCTACCCATCGTGTTTCCACTGTGAGTCTGGGTTTTTTCATTGATTTGAAAACGATGGAAACACCTTCATCGACGTGCATCAAATGCTACAAGAGACTGAAGCTGGAGGACATGATGCCATCAAACTCTACTGTATGCAAGTTGTGTCATAAAAAAATGATTGCTGGGAATACGTTTTGGGTTTCCCTTGAATCTGACGACGCTAAAATTGCCTCTGGCGTTGAACTTGGAAATATGGGACTTACTATGTCCAAAGACTGCAGAGCAGAAAGCCGTATCAAATTGTGCGTTGATGATAAAACCAAATTGAAAGATGCAGGAACGTTACAACAGTTGAACTCGAGTTTAGGCACAAATAAATCTTCAAACGATGCTCAAGTTTTTAGGTGTTTTTCTGAAACAGGTATAACAGCATCAACTATATTAAAACATGGCGATGAAAGAATTTCATCACAAAATCATTGTGCATCATTTGAGAACTTTAGGCTTGGAAACAACATTTCTGAAAGCGAAATATCCGAAAACGTCGATGGAAAGATTGAAGTGGCTGAAATGAATCACAGAACTTACGATAATGTTACGTCAAAACTTTGTGTGAATGAGTCGAAACTTGATACTTCAACGTGCAAAGTCAGTGAACCCATAAAACCTTTGGAGTTATCAATGTCGAACTCAAAGGACTTGCAAACAGCTCACAACAATAATGAAATTAACCAACTCAAATCGAAAGCAACAGGCGAAGTAATTTTTCCTACTAAACTAGCATCGCAGTTGAGGAAAGAATCTGATGATTTCCTATGTTCTCGTGCTGGTGTGAATTCCTTGGAGCCATCAAATGCCCCCTGTTTGCAAAATATCGCAGCAGATCTCAATGCGTCCACGTGGTCTGACGTGGAGCAACGTGGAGCAGCTTCATCCCAAGGTAAAAGGGATCGTTCTTTGGTTGGTGATTGTGCCATCGCTGTTCTTACGGACAAGCGAAGCTTGAATGTTCGTCACGAATGTGATTCGTCAAGGTTCCAGTATATAAATAGCGAAGTAATTCCTTCTGCAATACTCATCCGAAATCTCTTTCCATCCCCTACACCACCAATAACTCAGACGGTAAACATTAGATCAAATTGTGAATGTGATCGCCACGCCATATTTGCCAAGACATCAAAAAATAACAATAAAAAGAAAAGAGTATTAAAAGCCAGTCGAAAGACTGGACATTGTTCTGTCCAGAAGACTAAAATGATCTCGAGAAAAGGAAAGCGTGGACGAGGTAAACGAATCATTTCCGCCCCGAAGAAAGGGACAAAGAAAGTAAAACATGCAGATACTGTTGATGTACCAGAAGTTTCCGTTCGGCAAACAGAACTAAAACCAAAAACTGATAACGAGGATCGTGCAAGACGAATGATCGAGTTTGAGCAAATTGCTGCAAGTACTCCGTTCCAATTGAGAAAAGAAACAGTCTTTAAACAAAGCGTCATGGCACTTAGTCCGATCCCAGAAGCGTCAAGATCAAATCATTCCGGTTTTCAGTCTCGCTCCCAGTCTCTGTTTTCCTGTGCAAGTGAGCATGGCGATTATTATCTATCGAACATATTGAATTGTGTTTGCAATAGTCCTGTTGACGCGAACAATGACATTCAACAGAAGATGCTCTCACGCTCAAATGGGGATTTGCGAGAGGTTGCGTTGAATTCACACGACAAAAAATTGCAGATGGTCGAAATTGAATTTGAAAATGCTGTTCCAGAACACATGTATGAAAAGAATATGCTAGAAAACAGTAATTATGGTTCTTTGCTTTGCTATACGTCAAAAGACCAAAATTTACTTGGCGAATTAACGATTACTGATGGACTTAAAACGCTTGAGAAAAGTGTGAATTCTAAATCAAAATGCGTACTCGAAAAAAATTGGTTTCAATGTCATAATGACACGAGAATTGATTCTATTAATTGTCCGCCGGAAGGAAAAATGCTTGATGAAACTAATGCTTCCAACAGTTCAAACGAATCAGCAGCTCTTAGAGACTTATTTCGTGAAATGTCCCCAGATTCCAGTATCAGCCGCGAAACGTTGAACAGAATTTCCGCACTCGCTGACAAACTCTTTATTGATCAAAAGAAGATAACTTGTGATGAATCTGACGTGAAATTACGTGAAATTGCATCTCTTGGGGATTCCAGTTGGAACACGCTTTTTAATTCTAAAATTCCCGAGCCTTCGGCTTCGAGCTCAATCACGTTACCGACCCCTTTGGGTGACTTACAAAATGACGGATCTGTTTCACAAGAACTTGTTGTGAGTAGACTCAGTCCTCAAAAGTTGGTTGCCTCTGGCAATGTTTCGCAAATAACATCATATGGAGAGGACGAAATTGTGTGGAAAAAGGGAAACATGCTTGGAAGAGGAGCATTTGGAAAGGTACGACTCCCTCATTTGAACATGTACTCTTGTGTCCAATTAAATAACTCACTACGCAACAAGTTTCGTGACCATAAGAAATGTGCGAAATAAGTATGACGTAATGTTAAAGAAATCGTGACCATTTTATCCCCAATTAACACTATAAATACACGAAAGTCAAGTTTATCTTAAACATTATTGAAAAATCTTTAAACGAAGACTTCTTCAAAGTTACACAATGTGCACGTAAATTTTTACGAAAATCCGTATAAATTAATCATTCCCAAGTTGTGTTGAGCAAAACAATATAGATTACAGTCGTGACATACTCTCTTTTGATGTAAATTTATTTAGTTCTATTCAATAATATTAAATAGTGGTATTTTACATTATTATATATTTATATTTACTGATCATCTTTAAGCGCTTATGAAACGAAAATTTACCACGCAGTTTTTTGATTGTGCAACTCAAAACCTGTGAAATGACTTAACATAAAGCTTCATGAGTTAGGTTTGTGTTTTTTTACTTCTTTCTTGAGATCTTTAACTTTATTTATTACATTACATAATAACTCTTTAAAGACCATTAATACATTTATTATAATTTTCACATCGTGAAAACATTTAATTCGCATGTACGATCGACGGTTTGATTAATATATCATGTGAAAAGATGCCAAAAGTTGGCATCTTTTCACATAATCAAAAATGATTATGTGAAAAGATGCCAAAGTTTAATATTTCACAACTTATTGTCGACAAAAATTGACATTTTATAAATCCTAATTATGTCTTGTGATGTCACAGTGATGTTATTTGCATAATAAGAAAAGTTCAATATCTCTAGAAAGAGGTAAAATATATCTACTTAAGAGGTTATTAACTCATTTTAAATGGTCTTTGCAATACGAATATAAAATTGTGTGGTAAATCGGGTTTCATCAGCACTTTAAAAACTTTTTAAGTGTTTTCCTTGACGATGCAGAAATGTTTAACATAAGATTTGGATAAGACATAACAATTGAATGCAAAAAGCAAAATTGCTCTATTTTTTGATGATAGCCATATCAGAAAAAGTTAAATTAATCAAATAATAATATGCATAACTTAAATTCTCTGACGCGTCATTATTTTGACTCATCTTTTTAATTTTTTCGCTTTGCCATACAATTATTATTTGAAACAAACTGTTGGAATTGCATACATCATTCAAATCTTACAGTTCTCAGCCATGGAAATGATTTTTTTGAATCTGCACACCGGATTTTTTTGCGACTTTTGTTGCAAAGATAACACGAGGTTTTTAGAAGAACTTTTTTTATGAAAGGTTCTGAGAATTATTCGCAAGTTCTTATTGAAAGAAAAATACTCTTCCTATTGTTTTTATTCCTGTTTGTCACATTAAATATAGTTATTTTTCTTTTGCATATAATATAGGTATATTGTGGTTTAACAGACACGGGTCAAATGATTGCAGTGAAACAGGTTGAGCTTATCACTAGTGATATGAAAGAGGCTGAGAGGGTAAGTGAGTAGTAAAGTAATTTGTGCAAAGTTGAATTGAGAAGATGTAAAAAATGATCGGGGTAATTAAATTGTGGGTCTCTCGAGAGTTACAAAAATCATTGCTTGTAATTTTTGAAGGACTCTGCAAACCAGTTTATTTCCTGTGCTTCAAAGAAATAAAAATAAAGAATATCAAATCACTATAAAAAATCACTATAAAAATGAAATACGTGAACATATAAAGCATCCTCTTTGTTGCATGCTATTCTTGACTTAGCCATATTGGTGGTATGATACAAAAGAATGTTTTATCAATGTTATTGTTGCCACCAGCCGACGTGGGCGAGCATTGAGCAACATTTTTGGTAAATCACAAGAGAACAGTTGTAAGTCGAGAATATAAATTTCGATTTGGCATGTTTATGACAAACCTCTATATGCAGCTCAGTTTATGCTTGTTTTCACAACTTATGTTTAAATTCTAGAGAATATATAGTTATTTATGTATTCAATCAAGTAAATCTTCATAGCTGATTTTATTAGAATCATACATTGTTTTTCCCCATTGATGATTGTAAGGATATTTATTATTTATAATTTAGTGTTGATATGTCCCCATTACTCTTTATTACCTATCTTTACTGTCAACAAATTTATGGAACACGACAAAGTTTTCTTTACAGCTTGTACAGGGTGTATAAAACGAAGACTTTTAGTAATTAAATTATTGTGAAATCTCAATGCTGTTTACTACACTAATCCAACTGGTGCAATTTTTTGCATGCTATGATCACAGAATAGACATCTAACAGAAGGCCCACTCAGCAAAAATCGTGGCGTATGTTTTCACTGCGCATGCGTGACTTCCCAGCGAGATACTTTCACGAAATATGTATTTAATAAAATTGCAAGAGAATGTTTTTACTAATAATTCACGTTTAAAGCAAAGCTATGCCGCAATTTTTACCAAGAGTTATCATCTTGGGAAGGAGATAAGGTACGAAGCTTTTGTAATGCAAAACAATATATTTGTAAAAACATCTATGTTTTCTATTGCGGTCTTGCTGAAGTATCGTGCTGGAAGGCGTGTCTGCTTGGAATTTGCTTCAGAAAAGAGGGGGACGCGTACATCAAAGGTTCCGACACGAATAGACTTTCGGTTAAGATATCTATTCTGTGCTCTGATGTTAGATGTTAATTCTAATTCGCTAGAGCAGAAGAGCTTTTAGTGCCAGTAATAAAGATAAATATAATATATGCACGTATCTGACAATACTTTATTTAGCCGTGGGTTCTGCAAAGTAATAGGCATTTAACTTATCACCCTGCGTGATGAAAGGTCTTCCTTTTTGTTCACACCCTACAATAAACAATCCACAATGACTGACTTTAGGAACTTACAAAGGTCCTACAAAGCAATGGTTGATCTAGAGCACAGTAATGTGAATAAACAGTAGGGCCACTCCATTGAATTTTTTCGTGCCACACGTATACCTTATTACGCATCTAATTACAATAATAGAAGCCAGTCAATTGTTTTTTTGAGCTATAAGAATGATAAAAGGGCTAACCGCATTCAGTAATCTGATTGGACCTATTGTATATTCCCCATACTGTGTCTATGGTACGTCAAAGTAAACTACTTCAAAATATTTTTGAATATATATACATTTCTAAGTTCCTTAGAAGCAAGTCCATTGGTAAAATTATATTCTTTAGAAATTCAAAACAAACAGTGCTTGTCTGAAAGAACCTAAATTTAAAATTGAGCTGGTATAATTTATGTTGACAAATGTTGGATCCGCTACTGTGAACGAACCACCATTCAACTATGAACGATGAGAATTGAAGATATAAATATTAATCTGCGGTGGTTTCTGGTCAATTTACTAATGTTTTTCCTTTATCAATTTTATAGCAATACGAAAACTTGCAAGAAGAAGTGAGACTTTTGAAGTCTTTACGACACAGGAATGTGGTTAGGTATGTCTTGTCATGTTGAGTGTTGCTAGAAACCTCCAAAGATCCTAAAATCCATCTCCCGCATGAGCAATGGCTTGTGGTATCGATTATTACCATAAATATTTTGATTGCTGATGCAGCTGTTGCCGAATGTACATTGAAAATACACAGCTTGTCGTTTGTTTACTTGCGCTCATACATTCTTCATATAGTTTTCTTGGCACATGTCTTGATGCTGGAGTTGTGAATATTTTCATGGAGTTTGTTCCTGGGGGATCTATTGCTTCAATTTTATCAAGGTAGCTATTACTTTATAGATGACTCTCCCGCATTATGTTTTGCTGACAGGCAGATTTATCCCAAGGGAGGTTAACCACTGTTGCTAGTGTTATCCCAAGCACATCAGCTAATCTGCCTGCCATAAACAAGGCAAGTCATCTATTGGTGATTACCGTATCTTTTTTCTTCGTTTTACTCATTTGTGATGCAAAATGCTGTGCAATATAGTAATCTCCTAGCATTTTCATATAACCTAAAGCAGTTTACGACGGTTGAACGGCACTAGAAATGGATATATTCATAAGTTGAGTTATTTCAGTTTACACTGCTAGAAACTTTTGAGTGCTACAAATGTCAACAAGCATGCCAATATGCTAGCTGACTTTCTTTTAAATAACTATTACTATTTTCTACAACTGACTCCTGGTTAGCATGTTGACTTAGAAAACAAAGTGTAAACTGAATGTCCTCTTTCAGTGTATCCATATGCCTCTTCTTTAGTCTTTCTCAGCTCCTCTAGTTCTCTATCCTGGAAGGTCTAATATTAAGCATTCTTTTATCTTTATGCTATCGACTCTAAGTAACTATAATCCTCTATCTTATACATTTCTATTTCTAATTTAGACTTACTGTTCCATTTGGTTCTCTCACAATCATCCACATTATTTGTGTACTTTTTAAATTTTTTATTTCTCTATTTCTAAACCAATCTCTGGGATTTGATTTAAAGAACCGTGTGAAAAACTCGACACACACTTCTTTCAAACACTTTTGCACTTCCACTGGAACGATCATTTATCAAGACTGACTGCTCTATCGCTTTTCTTTCTCTTCAAGGTGCTCTTGACTTCATTTTTACCAGTTGTTGCAACCTCCTCGTATATGGCAGTCATCTTCTCCACTAAGCATTCGCTCATTTTCTAATTTATTAATCGCTTTTTATCCTTCTGCATGACACTTTTTTGTATGTTAATACATATCCATTCCTTGCCTTGATGGCCTTCACCTCCTGCAAATTTCTGTATTTGTTTGTCTTGCTAACTTTTGCAAATATTCACAGTTCAACCGATCATACTAGTCATCTGAAGCACAGCCTTGGGGTGACTTAACCCATCCTAAAAGCCAATCAACAAAGCTGAGCCTTTTTCACACTTCGCCATCTGTACTATCGTCCTCTTCATCTTTTTTACCACTATGATTATCTTTCTCAAAACTCTTTTGTGCTTTTTGTTTACACTCTCACTTGCTGCTAATTTGTGATCACTAATCTCCTTGAGATTGCATTGTCTCCATAAGATGTAATCAACTTGTGTTCTTCTACTTCCTCTCTTATATGTCATTTTATGATCCTGGCTATTCTGGAAAAATAAGCACCACAGTCATTTCCTTCTTTTTGCAGACTCAATCACTATCTGTTCTTATATGTTCCTACGAGCAACAAACCTTTCCATTATTTCCTTCACCTTTGTAGCCTACATCATCATGTCCATTGGAATAAGTATTTATTAATCACTACTCATACTCTGTATCACTTCAACTAGCTTTCTCCAAAATTTTCCTTCTTTATTTCAAATCTTATTTGCTTTTGCCTAACCACTTACTTTATAACAGATTACACATTCAGCAGCTAATTTCACTTTTTCTCTTCTCCTGCAGAGCTTTTGTATCATGCTTCTCCTTCGCTATATCTCTCACTACGTGTGTTGCTCTTCTTGCTATCACCGAAATAACATAATGTAAATTTTGTTGGTTTAGTTTAAGTTTTTTAGACTTTTTAATTTTCCACCTTGTTACTTGGTCTCTTGAACACGCAATATTCCCACTTTCTCTTTTGTATCATTTTCATCAACGCTCTTGCTTTTCTTTTTATATTCTCATTATCCAAAGTCCCTACTCTCATTTCTAAACACTTGCGTTTTGTCTTCACTTTCTGCTTGCAGACATGTGTTCCCTCTCTTATTTGACCTACAGTCGTCTAATTTACATCAGTGTCCCGCAGGCTAACAGTACTTGTGGCGGTGGTTGTTAAACCCGGGCTTTAACTCATCCGGTATGTAAGTGGTAAACTGATTTGCACAGTAATGCTATCAGTTAGCTTTCCTGACACAACTCTTTGCATTTCTTTGAGCTTGGGATCGACACAATGACAACCTTGGCTAGTGCCCCCTTGTGGCTGCATTCAATTCTGACTTGCTGAATATCACAACTTATTGCAAGTTTGAGCTTATGGCTCGTGTGATCATTAGAAAATTGTTCATGGCATTACGAGACCTGTTTTCGGTACATGTTTTGGTCTCATTTTCTCGAAATATTCTGAATGAAAACACATTTGCACATCGATAAATGCTTTGTCTGACTATTGCCCAATCTTAGCAGCAAGCTGCTGTAAACGGCACAAAGAGAATATTGCTGCAAAATAGAAACAAAGAGTATTCCTACTCTGTTGAAAATCTTTTGTGCACATGTCTTTTTATGTATGTTATTGAATAGTGGCTGCCATTCAACTGCATTTTCTTACAAATAGGAAACCTGAGACGGCTAATTGCAGTCAGTAGTCTAATTGAATACACGGCTCGAAAGTGAAACTACTATCTACATGTTTCCTATGCTGTGGTGTTTCTTTGGAAAAAATGGAAAAAAAAACATCTGTATGACATTTAAAACATTAAGGAAAGAGATAGAGAGCCAATTGTCAGAGATTTAAGTGATATCACTTGGTACACTTGTTTTTGTATACTGACGAAATTGTTGAGGTTTGGTGTAACACTTAATGAGCATGCGTCGATTGCAACAAAGCGAATTAAACGAAATGGTCAACTTAAGAGATTTACATAAGTGTTGAATAAATGGTGCAAATCCGATTAAAACCAAATGAATCGTTGGCAATTGCGATCTTTTATAGACAAATCTACTGCTGTACATACAGTTAAATCATTTAAATTAAATGGAGTAAAGATTAAGCGTGTTGCAAATCAAAAACTATTTAGATAAGAAACTCTCCTCAGAATTGAGTCAAAAAAATTTTTTGTTTGAAAGATACATTTGTACACACTGTTCAATCGACTCATGAAGGGATTTAAGAATAGTCTACGCGAAAACGAGCATCGACAGAAGGTTAAACAAGGACAGCAGATAATAGCATGAAAATGGATTGTTTTATAAGTAGAGATATGCTGTACGGAGAGTCTCCGAAATGCTGAACTCTTATAACGAGTAACCGACCAGTCTATAATGGCTGAATGTGTATACATTTTTTGCTCCACAGTGAATCAACAAAACTTACTGTTAGAAAAACGTCGCTAAATTGATTTGCGCATTGCGATAAGGTAATTGTCACTTTAAAATTGTCAATATTTGCAACAATTTTATGGTCACATCCACCATTGAACATCCAACTACTTAAGTATGAATTTAGCGACGTTGATACACCCTGCATGAATATAATTCGAGTAATGAGGTAGGAACCTGCTCGGACAAGTGTTCATCTACTGTAATTAAATAATAAAATTCACTCACTGTGGTATATTTTCCTTTTTTTTATTTCATGTGATTCTCGCAAATTTCACCAGAAATCTGTGAGATAAAATCTCGTTATACATACGACCTGCTGAATCCTTCGTAATTACTTTGAAACCTGTATACGTTTTATTTCTTTTATCAGATTTGGTCCGTTGAAAGAGCGAGTTATTCGATATTACACGAAGCAGATCTTAGATGGCGTGGAGTACTTGCATGCCAATAACGTCATTCACCGGTATGTTTGTGTGGCTAACTTTACAGAAATTATATTTTGGCTGTTTGAGATATTGTTATTGGGCCTATTGTTACCTGCTTGCAAAGATCGGTTGCTAAAATTAAAACTAAATCTTAATAATTGCAAGCAATCGAACTGTGGAAAACGGCAGACGTTGAATAAAGACAGGTCCAACTAAGGACAAACACTTTTGTCTCTATGATTTGAGATTGGCTTTGATATTCTGTATGTAACGTTGTGTCCTAGTGTTACCAATGTTAGTAATTCACTTTGCTAACTGATCCCCTGATTATGAACTTTCAGCCAATAACCTTCATTGCATCTACAAGCAAGAGCTTCTAAATTCTAATTTCACGTGTATATATACAAAGATATACTCTCATTAATCAACAACACTTTTTATGGATACATCATGTGCATTTCCAATTATCTACGTCACATCCTACAAAGTAACGTATATATAATCTAACATTAGCCCAACATATTTTCCCATGAGTAATGAGCAAGTGTAATTGACTGGAAAAGTACAAAACCAAATAAGCATGGCCTTGTTTTACACATAGGATTTGTGCTTCAGATGAAAATTTTTTATTCAAAATTTTGCACATCGATATCGCTGCATCTGTAATATTTTAGAGACATTAAAGGAGGCAACATCATGTTGATGCCCTCAGGTGTCGTGAAGCTGATTGACTTTGGTTGCGCAAAACGTCTTTATTTGGTATGTGAACTTTCACTTCTTATGTTCATTAATAAATCATTGTATGTGTTTAGAACGTTTTCACTCCTTTCACAGGAATCGATTTTACAATGGATGAAGTAGCCATGTTTGTGTTGCAAACAAAGGGACTTCATGAAAGTCCACTTAAATTCATTCACCAACATGGCCGCTATATGACGTGAATTTGCAGCGATTAAAATTTCAAAAAATTAAAGAAAATTTTGTTGTATACTTGATTCCACAGTCCCCTGCAGACTATAATTGCTATCGTTTCTAGCGAAAGGATTTAGCTTCAGAGCCTATTTCAAATCCTGCAACGGTGCACACGAACATTTCATTGAAATGTTTTTTTTCTACGGAAAAAGTTGTAGAGTTTCGATGTAGAGTTTCTTTGTGGAATTTTCAGGATTTGAGCCAGAGTGAGGGAGATTTGCTACGATCAATGAAAGGCACCCCTTACTGGATGGCGCCCGAAGTGATCAAAGAAACAGGATATGGAAGAAAGTCGGATATTTGGTAAAAATACTAGACTTCAGATTAGATATATGGAAACGTTCATATACCGTTGTTTATGCATTCATGCCCTTTACAAGCAGGCAATGTACCTTTTACAAGAATGAAGTTATCCGTTTTTGTACAGTCAAAAATTTCAACAGTGAATAAATTACTAATTATCAAATTGTCAAATTATGTTTGAATTTTGAAACATTGTACTGTTGACTGTTGTTTTAATGCACCATTTACTTATCGGCCAAATTAGAGCAAGAATTCGTGTTGGAGATGTGAAAAAAAACTTTTGTCATATTATGTTTGTCATGTATTCTAGGAGTGTTGGTTGTACTGTATTGGAAATGGCCACCGGAAAACCTCCATGGTAAGTTCTTAACGAGTCTCATGCGGTCATCGTTTGATTAGACAATGCACTCATTCATGTATGTTGATATTAGCAATGTGAGACGTCTTTTGTTTGAAGAGCATCGAGCTCTTCAAACGAAAAGCTTTGTTCAATTTCAAGCATTAATAATATACAGGAAAAAATTTCTCAACTCTCATTGGTTAAGAGCAGTGCAATTTTTTCCTAAATATCAATGCAAAAATGCGAAACACCGGTGCAAAAACGCGAAACACCGGTGCAAAAAAGCGAAACACCAGTGCAAAAAAGCGAAACACCATTGCAGATTTCTCTTCAAAACTGCTCTTCATTGGTTGCTCAAACAAGGAAGTAATATAAGAGCCAATCAAAATAAAACATTTCCAAGGCGGGAAAGTTACATTATTGTAAACAAGGAAATTACAATGACTGGCGTAAGTTTTAAGCAGATTATCTTGGGGGACCCTGTCAACAATTCATCGTTTGCAAGACGTTTCTGAACAAAAATACGAACACTGCTAAAAGGAGATACCTTGTTCTAGATGCAAGTGTGGAAACTATGGTGTTATAAAAAAACAATAACTGAAGGAATTGAAAAATACGAGCCGGTCGATATTAATAACTTGCCCGCTGAAATGTACGTAGGCTGAAGTTAAAAATCAACAGAATTGAGAAATTTTTTCATAGTTTCTGGTGAAAATTTGGAAAACAAGCACTCTTGATAGTCTTTGAAAAACTTACTCGTGTATGTTTTTCCCAAACTGCACTCAAAACCATGCTATTACATATACAAATTATCCTGTTCAAGTTTTCCTCAGCAATTTATAGAAAAATTACGCGATGGCTTTTATCCCGTGTCTAGTTTTCGAAACAAAACTGCATGCAAACTTGAAGTGTAGGGATAAATCGCAGAACGGAAATACGGAGTGCGGAACGGAATAATGAAACCTGATTTTGGAAGCAGATTCCGCAAACGAGGATAAAACGCGGACTCTGCAAATTGGAATAAAACGCAAAATTGTGTAAGAAATGATAAGGAGTCTCTAAAAGACCAAATGAGCAAGTTAATGTCTGTAGAGTAGCTGGGAAAATTCACGTTTTAAATTATTTCTGTGGGCTATAGCTTTATATTATCATAAATTTTATTTCTGAATATTTTCTAATTCAGATGTAGTTGATCTTTGTTGGTAGTTGAATGTCACACCTCTTTAGTAAAGCAGCTATGCTGAAAGAAATACTGTGTAAAAATAAAGTCAACCATCGTCATCATCACCATCACCATCATCTTCACCATCACCATCACCATCCCCATCATTATCCCCATCATTAACCACATTGCAAGTTTTTATCCAATTACAACTTGCTGGTTTCAATGAATAAATACATGATGTAGAGATTTGACAAGGAGTTAAAAATTTCTAAAGAGTATTTTAGTTGTAAATAATGACATATTACCTTTGTCGAAACGTTTAGATTAAACAATGTTTACTTTATACAGAGTGTCTGTTGTCTTGTGTTTTACTAAAAATTTCTGATCCTTGCTCGTTAAACTCATAGCACCTTTTTGATACTCGTTCTTGTTGGGAGCTATAGCATTCTTAATTTTTAAGAGGAGTCAACTATCTTACAATACATCTTATATACTCGTGTGACCTACCTGTATTGAATACAGAGAGATAAAATAATCGCATACAAAAGCCAATGTGTGCAAATGTCATGCAGTACTATATAATATGGACACGAAGGTCAAGTCGTTGCAGCAAAAAGCGTGATATTACCAAACAGAAGAAAAGAACAATCATCAATCCCATCACATGTGCTGACCCACAGTTTGACACAATATTTTGATTGGTATTATCATAACATTTGATGAAAAAATGCCATTGACTTACAGATGTCGTGTAAAGTTACAATCTTTGTCTTCCATATAACTTGCGTGTTTGCTCTGCACCGTAGATGTAGAATTAACACTGTAGGTGCAAAATTAAACGGCTAGAGTAACTTCTTTATTGCTTTTGTAGATATCTCAATTGATTCTAGCTTTACACTATGAATTTTGGAGGGTAAAAATTACCCTTAAAGTTAGGAGTTAAATCAGTGCCACAGAATGCCCCGGTTTTGAAGGGTAACGTTTTATGTGGGTAATATTTATTTAAGGGTAAAATTTACGGTTGTAATATTTAGTTAGGGGTAAATATTTAGTTAGGGGTAAATATTTAGTTAGGGGTAAATATTATAATAGAAACATTTTCGATGTCATTAGTTTCTTTATTTTTTTCATTATATGAAATTTATTGCAACATTTGCTAACCAAAATTCAAAAGTTTAGTTTTTCACTTCGTCTTTTCTCGACCATTCTGTTAATGCGATAACTTTGAGCGAAACCAATTGCCTCTTAAGAAGAAAACCATATTTTTAAGGTCACATCTACCTCCGATGTCTGCTATCTTAGCAATTGGTGAAGGATTAGAAATGCCAAAGCTGGAAAAGGAAATTTCTGACCAGGCGTGTGATTTTGTTGCATTATCTATGAAAAGGTGAATCAAAGATACTCAATTATTACCTTTTGTAGAACTGTCGTTTTTGTTAAAAACTAGTTTTGTAGTTATCCATGTTTGGGGGGTGTTCGTCATTTCATTTATTAACCTCAATGTTTCTTCAGTTTACCGAAATAATATTTTTTTCTTAAGAAACTAAAGATGTCTACTGTATTTTTCTAAGCTTATGTAAATTGAGGAAACCTTTGCGCGAATTCCTGACGAAATCAGTGAAAGCTGAAGACCGAAAGTCGAGGGTTGCTCCTGCGAGTTCTCACAAACAGGAGGGTTGCTCCTGCGAGGTTTGCATAAGCCAGTGCAATCAAGAAAAGAATTTTTTATTTCTTTTATTTAATAAAAGTAATGCGAAACAGATATATTTAAAACAAACGTTTGAATGTTTTCTCTAACATGTATCAATGATTTGCTTTCAAATTCTCTTTGATCCATTTAATTGACTGAGCTGAGTTTGGTTTGCACTGGCTAATGGAACCTCAGCTATGCAAAGACCAATCAGCGTAAGCGTTTAATTGTTGTTATTTTTTAAATGGTATTATTTTTTAAAAAATTTAGAAATCCTCACGAAAGATGGTCTGCTGAGGAACTTTTAAATCACCCGTTCATCCAAGAATTTAATCATCAATTTGTAAATGAATATTTTAACCCCATGCAATAATCACTATTAGAGACTTATAACAATGAAAAAAGTATTCTTTTTAAACGTATTCGTTTTGTAAAATGCGTCTTGATTGAAAACTGAACCTGCTTGTAAGTAGTACCTATTTTAGTGAAGCACAAAACGATTGAAACTCAGTAACAAAAAAGTGAAGATAACTTCCAAACGTTTCGACAACTACAAGTATATTTGCTACATGTCGTAACGAAACGTGTGGAATAAATAATGTTTACTTTTTAAGGAGTTTCAATCGTTTTGTGTTAATAAAAGCCGCACATAAATAGGGTAATGCTAATATGCTATATGTCATTAAAATAGTAAGCTCGAGTAACTTTCATTGATGCAGAAATTAAAGGAGAACGAAGAGTCCGTGTTGAAATGTGCTAAAAATTCCTGCTTGAAGATTAAGAGCACTAAAGACTCCTATTTCTATTTCATATCAGCATATCAGCATGAAGTGAAAAACGTGGAGGCTTTGATAGATATTCGTATTTCTCACTCTTACTTTTGCACTCATGACGCTAGGCTGTGATGAAATGCTGCAATTTTTCGCTCTTCTATTTGGCTCTTCTATTTCTATCATAATTCTTTATGCTGATGGAAAGGTAGCGATCTGCTACAAAATCCACTGTTTTTGCTTTATTATAATATACTATTGAAAGTAGCATCGGATAATTCTCCAAAGGTCTTCCACCTGCTTTTCATTGATTGAATAAGAGCCAGCGCATCAATTACAAGGGTATTGTCGTCAAATCGATCCAAGTCACATTTGTAATTATCATCTTAAAATAAACGAATAAAAGTAAACATTTCTATATTTGTCTCGTGGCAAAAATGAATTATGACTATTCTCAAATCCTAACGAGATTCACTTGTCAACGATAAGTAGTTGTACTTAGCAATGCTTTTCCTATCGACTAATAAAAACAGTGATTACTAAAAAATGCATAAGGAAGACTCCCATCACTGATGATCAACAAACAGACCTTCCAAAATTTGAAACAACTTGGAATTTGCTGTTTTGACTAAACTCCCTGTTGTTGTTGCCAGAGAATGAGGATACGTAGCAAGAAAAACTTCTTCTAGATTGACTTAACGGTTCTTTGCAATCAGCATAGGGATACGTGTAAACAAGTCTCTATTCAATTTGAGGTTGATATCTTTTGTTTTCTTGTCCTTTACAGTCATTCTTTTTCCAGAATAGAATGTCGAAACTTTGTTTCGCGTTAGCTTTACAAATGTATCAGGAGTCTGTTTGTAACAGTAACATCAAAAGCAAACCCACTTGCAAAACTAACTGCTCATATTCGACGGTTAATAGATTAATCATGCTTTCTACGGTACGCATCGTATCAACTACGGATTTTTCATGGCGAATGCATTTTGGCTTGTCAAGATCTTTTCGGCTTCTGGAAGGGGGTAGGAAGTTTAAAATAAAGGAAATTGCACTGCACCACGTATGGTCATTTCAAGTTTGTAACCAGTAGCTCTCGGAGTAAGGAAAGTTACAAAAAAAGCAATTGTGCAACCTTGGTTTCGCATTTGCACCAGCCATATCCTTGCATCTGCTAGTAATGGTAGCTCTCTCTGATTGGGCAAGCAACCATCTATGGACAGCTGCATGATTTAGTGAAAATCCGATGATACCCTTAGTTTTCGACTCCAATCACGGTTTATCGTCTGCTATATGGTCTTGCCGCAAAATACAGCAGAAAATTCCCGAGTAATTTGGCGTTGAACAGTGACAGTTGGTCACAGTGAAGAGGATCTTTTCAAAAAGAAGTATGCATTGTAGGGCAATGCTAACAAAATACACAAATACACAAATATTACATACCAGGGTGTGTACGACTAAGAGCAGACATCGCCAACCAGTACACACTTCCATATCTAGCGTAATTCACACGATCACAAATGAAAAACCATGGAAGCATACATTTCAATGATGACAAATGGAGATTCCAGTTAACATTTCTGGTCGCCCTGGTGAATATGAACAAAATACCTGTTAGAATAGATTCATTTTGAATAATAACAGATTAGACAATCTCACAAGCCATTTTTGTATAACTTTAAAATTAAATGGAAAAGAATAAACTGCAAAGTTAATGTCGTGAAAGGAAAATATTCATATGTTGTACCTGTCATTCGCAAATACATGTTCCAAAATGCTAAAGTTCTGGATTTCTGAGATGACTTTTTGATGAACTTGTCGTAGTTTTCGCGAATTGTTTCAAATTCTGGACTATTGATGTTGTTTATGAATGCCTCTTCAGGAAAGGATTGCATATGTAGAAAACAATGTTGTAAATGCCTTCTTCTTTTTGTTATCAAGCGATACCGGAAATGCTACAAATTTAAGACGCTCCTGGGCTTCATAGATCAATATAGGACAGGAAACTTATACATTGTATTGATTCATAGATAAAACATCCTTAATGGATCCTGCTGAAACGATCATTGACTCTATGAAGATGTCCTGTTTGATGAAGACATATACACTTTAACTTTTAAATCAAACAATACTATAGTCATCACATAATAATTTTGTATGATATTTGTATTTATGCGAGGCAATACTTTAAGTCCTCCATCCTCGAAAAGTTTAGATATAGCGGACTAAAAGCACATACAAGCATGAAATCCTCCAAGACGAACAAACCAGTTGTAGAAAACTTGTTCCTTCCATCTTATATGTTGTATTTTTAAATACAAGTCTTCATCAACTACTAAAACAGTCTGTTCCAGCTCTACAAAAGTTTTTCATGTAGAAAACACGTCCTTCCTGAATGATTTTTGTTTGTACAAACTGCTTGCAGAAGGATTCAAAGTATGTTCTATAAAGTGGAGTGGGCCTTTGGATGTGACTGCTTCTGGATCCTCCATCCCGTGGGTCAAAAATGAAATGTATTTTTTATTGCATCGTCTGTGATACTTCATTTCTACGGCTACACAATCTTTGCCTTTTATCTGCAGCAAAATACTTTATCTCATATTTTATCTCTGCTGCTTTGCGTATCTTGACTCCATCGATCTTTTGTGCATCGATCCAATTTTCACTTTCTACTTTTCTATTACCGTTAAACAATAAAAGAGTATACATGTTTGTCTTGAAAACACATAAGAAAAAAGAAAATCAACATACCGAATCACTGTAGTATAAATCCTTATTTTACATGTTATACAGAAAGGCGGTACAACGTGTTTGTTCCTTGGTCTAGCTTTACTAGTTGTAGTAAAAGCCGCTAAATTCGATCGGAAAAGTTTTTTTGGAATAAGATCACAGGACTCACAGCTCTCACTGCATGCATTGGCTTACGAATACTGACGAAGATGTCGTTTCTTTATCTGCTTTTTTACATCTAGCTTCCACAGCTGGTCACTAACACTCTTCGTTTTAAACATTTTATTTATTTTACAAACTACGAATACGATACATCACTGGAGTATTCTACGCTGTCTGTTAGAATTAATTATTTACATCAATTTATACTAACGGTAATTACTACAAAACATAAGTCAAGTTTCCTTTGACGTCATTAGCAGTGCTGACTCTTTCATCGCGTTTCAAGTCCTTTCGCGTTACAACAAAAAAGAAGAATTAACCAAACAAACAAAGAACTTACAAAACGTACTTAAAACAATGAAATGTTAACGGAAACCATCTTAGCTACGACAGTTTTATTGTTTTTCTTAAAAGAGTGCAAATATCCCACACCAAGTTTTTTGTGGGCCATGATGAATCTACTTCCTTTATTATTACATTAAGTTCTTTAACTTAAGCACATTTTCAAAATATTAAATGGTATTTATGAATTTATATACTCAGTTATTTTGACATATTCTCCTTATGTGTCCAAAGAAATTTGTTTTCTAAGCCTTTTTTCGTCGTTGGGAATATTGACTACAATGTTTTCGTTTTTTCACGAGGAAGGGTTTGCAATAAAGTAAAGTCTTTGTCTGATTGTTAATGTACTTACAATTGTTTCAAATTGTAAATACTTTACTTCGTTCTTATGCTAAATATGACTTAATGTAAGTTGAAATATGTTTATAATAAAAAATTTGTGATAGATATTTGACAAAACCCCCTGCGTTACAATTGTGTGACAAGCTTCTCATTGACGAGGTTCAATGAAAGCATTTTGATCATGTATCAAAGAATGCAAAATAATTGTTTACGTTGAATGATTTCTATAATACTGGTTAATACAGATGCAAACAAGCAGTAGCGCTGCTAGCGCATATGTTTCTGTTCTGGCTTGTTCGTCAAACGCACGCTTTAATATGTGCGTTTTAAAACAAAGTAACAAGAAAAACAATCGCACCACGTTTTGAATAAACAGAATGTCGTCACATAACTTTTGTCTATGTTTAATGTCTGTGGGAGTATTAAAAATCACTTCGAATTAAAAATTTTGGAAACCAGTTATTCTGTTTGAGCTTAAGATGACGAGCGGCTCTCCCACGTCGGCATGCACTTGAACACAACTGCGTACATGAAATAAATATATGTATATAATAGACCGCCACCAACGTGGCTGAATTGCAAAACAGGAGAAAACAGTAGTCGAAAATGACTTTCATAGCATTAGATTTATGACAAGCAAACAATAAAAAACTAGAGGTTATAAACGCATAACAGACAAAATTATTAGGGAAAAATGTCAAAAAGTCTCGGTAATCAGAAGTAACGTAGCGCACAACAAGTTTTGTTCAAAATCTTACAATTTATGGTTATTACCGCAGCACATTCTGGTCATATTAACAGCATACAACGATAAATGATATTCGTATATACAAAATACGAATTACATAATGTGCAATAAACATTCTTGATACTTTAATAGACAACTTGTATTATTACGTCAAATAGGAGAAGCGCGAGCTGCATTTTGGTCTTAGTAGTCACACACATGACAACATGGTAATACTGCCACAAGCGAAAGAGAGCTTACTGCTTTTCTTACTCATCTTTCTGAGTCAAGTAGAACGACTGTAGGCTCTAGTTCTTTCGAGAACTCTAGCCTGAGTCTACAGGAGACTTCTAGCTCAGAAACTTGCGATGAATCTACGCTAGACGATGTATCGTCAACAAAACGAAAAGGAATGATTTGGCTCTAGCTAAGAATGATTTGTATACAAACGCAATTCAACTGTAAAATTGCCTGTTGAAATTATTTTTGAAATAGCTGACTTTGAAAATATGAACTCATATTGAACCTCAACAATACATCGATAGTCAGCTTGGTATTTCAGTCAATATTATTGTGGATCCTTTGGCCGAACCCCCTTCTTATCTGACCTATAGAAAATATATCTCATACTTCACGTCGTTTGTGATTCCGTTATTCTTTGTTATATTACAGTAAATGTTGTATCAAACAAAACCCCCACTTTGCTGCTGACGCACTGAGAGTAGGCGTGTGTTGGGTTGACGTCACAAAAATAATGACTCTGCAACTAAGACATGAACATAAGTAAGATCAGACACCTTAGAAATAATTGAAAAGCACTTGTACGCAGTATCAAATTGAAAATGAATGAAACTGAACTTGGACTAGATAACAGTGTCGCGCAGCAATCTTATAACAACGATACCGCCATTCAGATAAACGGCTTAGAGAAGACAAGTGGAGCAAAAAATTCACCGTTCAATGGGGTGTATGAGAGCAGAGGTTTTAAAAATGAAGACGAGGAAGACACTTCCTTAGGATATTGTCTCTATATTGTAAATCATCATCGCTTGGCTTTTGGTAAGTTTTCTATCTTAAAATGACCTTGATTTGAAACATTGCTTTAGTCGATGAAAAGTTTGGTGAAAAGTAATTAAACTATTTACAATAAATGATTTGTACGATACTATACAGAACGGAATCGAAATATGATTGTTAACATGAAGAAGCACCGTAAGCAAATTGTGTTAGCAATCGCCATTTAAAAGGTGTTACTTGTGTACGCTAATTTTGTGAATTTATGCATTTTATTCACTTTGATATGTTTATCCAATGAAACGCTAATTGTAATTACATCCTGTTTTAAGTGAAACGGAAATTGTACTTCATAAATATTTAAATTATAATTTTAGCAGGTCATGACCAATGACAGTGCGGTGTTATAAACACAATAAAAATTGTTATACTAAGCATTTCTGATAAACTTTGATAACTATTGCACATAGCTTCTTAGGTAATGTGTATAGTACATTGTTTAGAATTATAAGAGCTTCTTTATACGGTTTAAAGTTTTGTATTCGCCAAAAACTGAATGTTTCCTAATGCTTGAGAGGAAATACTTTAAAAAAAACAGGTTATTATAAAATATTAACGCAACAATGTCGTTATGTCACTTTGTGAGCCTTGGCAAATTTATATATTCTCCGTCATGTTTGATAAAGATGGATTTTTCACCTTGCAAACATGTATTGCTAATATAATTCAGTCGACAAGAGTGCAATTATTGATTTATTAAACGTTATATCTATCTATCTATCTATGTGACAATAAGCAGTTAATAAAACAGTATTTTAACCCAACAACTGACAGCCTTTAATAAAGATTTTTTTAACGTTTCTCTTTTTTCAACATGAGAATTTAAGGGAAAACAAGGGGGATCCTTAGAGAAACCCCATCTATGCTAATTGCGCGTGCGTAGTACGGGTCTTTTAAGTGTGCGCATGCGTTCATGGCACATAAAATGGCAAGTTGTATTTATCGAAGCACGTAAATCGCAAACTTTAAGGGAAGATTTCTTTCAATTTCTCACCTGTTTATGTTAGGGAGCAACGGATTCAGGTTAAAGAGGTTATCATCTACCTACATAAAAAGTATGTAGCCTCGCGAGGGGTGCAACATGAAATGCTCATCCCACGGCCTACAGGGGGATTGTATGTTACGTCACGGCCGCCATGTTGGTGGTCATATAGAAAAGAATATCAGGCATTTCAAGTGAAAGACAAGTTTTTTTAAAGTAAACATGTTTCGGCATGCTTATGCCATTCTCAGTACAAGGAATGACTATGTTATCTATTTACAGTTTTATTTATATTATTAAAGTGAGAGTGTATCGAACTACTATAGATGATGGAATTATTTACAAGTTGAATATATTGTTGGCATAAGCACTCCGAAACATGTTTACTTTAAAAAAACTTGTCTTTCACTTGAAATGCCTGATATATATAGTGCTATTAAGAAATTATAGAAAAAGAATATTTTATTAAGGTAATTGTCGGCACCAGCCGTGGTGGACAAGCCACATTGTTCGATAATTCCCTGGAGTTTGGTTGTAATCCACGAATATAGTCAGTATAGTGATTTCGCAAACACGGCGTTTCGTCTAAGACGTCGTGAAAATGGCGTGCATGCGCCTTTTACTTCCGTTTCACTCTTCGCCGGCAGTCGTGTTGACGACTACGACGTGAAAACATACAATTTGACGTCGTATCGACGACGGCTGAAACAAATTCAATTTTTGGACAAAAATAAGGAATTGTCCGTGATATTTGCATCTCAAAAGATTATATTGGCCTAAACATATTCATTTAAGAAATACTTGTTTTGCAAACAAACAAACAAACAAATAAGCAACGCGGGGTCTGCTCTAATTTAGGAGGTCTCCTCGGAGTCAATACAATTTTAGTCAAACAGCCGTATGTCGATGATTTTGCTTTTACTCAGTATGGTAAAATATGAATTTATGAATATACTGCAGTATATATTTATATCAAAAAATTAGTTTAAAATGATTGGAAAAAACGTTCCAGCAGGAAAAATGCCTAAATGGATAAAACTTGTTTCATGCTATTCTTTGACGAAGTCCTACAAAAGGTCTACTAAATCACAAATACTTTACGACGTGTGCGTCTAGAGCCAGATCCCTTGCAAAAATTTAATGACGTCTCAAGCCTGGTTCTCATTAAGTCGCTCGATACATCCGAGTCGTTCCGAGTTGTTTCGTTGTTTTTCAAAACGACTGGGACGATCAAGCTATGGAATTCTCATATATTCATACTAGCGCTGCCGAGAGACTGTTTAATTAATTTTTTCGCAAAACATTAAGAAATGGCAGCTGCTGTTTATCAAAGACAAAGTCTTTTAGCTAGTTATTTGCTTCTTCAAATCGTTTTGACCCATAATGAGGTTGCTTGCATTTCTCAATGGTCATTTCGGTCGTCCGGATGGATCAAAGTTCTATCAAAGCGACCCTGGTCGTTTTAGTCGTGTGAGTCATTTGAGGTCATCCCGATCGCCTTTGAAATGTTTTCATACAGTTGCACGGGTCGTCTGTGAAATTTTGGCACGATTGAAACGACTCGGACGACTATATGAGAACCAGGCTTTAGACAAAACATCGTGTTTACTAAATCACTCTAATATAGTCAATAGTCCACTGTCCATACTCCAAAGTCTAGTCCTAGTTTTAGCAACTGCCCACCAAATCATCGGAAATTCCTCACAGGTAGTGATGTAAAAGGATGCGTGGGAAATGATGCAAATCGGACGTGATTAAATAATTCATCCCTTCTATACGCACTTTACGCAACTTTTGTCTTTGCCACAGTTCAGTATGCAGAATGTTTTTAGTCAGTGATACTGACTGAACGTGAAACGCATCTTTTCTCCCTTCTATGGAAAGGCAATATTGCAATATTGATATCACACGATATTCTTCGGGACTATCACTCTAAAGGACAATAA